TCTCTTCGTTAAGTGGAGCCCGTCTCTGCCTAGCACTCCTTCTTGGAACACCATCCCATGGTCGAAGAATCCAAAGCCTTCTCTCCGACACCACCTGCGTAGCCATTCGTTGACTTCCACGATTCGACGCTCCCTACCTAGGCCTTTTCCTTCCACGGGGAGGATGGACGAGAACACCACTTGGACCTCCAACTCCTTTATCCTTCTTCCTAGAGCCACATAGTCCGCAGTGATCCGCTCAAGGTCATTCTTGGCAGTATCATTGGTGCCCACGTGGAGAAGCAGGAAGGGGTAGCGATCCGAGGGCTTGATGAGTCTCGGCAGTCTCTCCGTCACATCGCGAATCTTAGCCCCCGGCAAGCAGCAGACTTCTCGGTTTTCCCGGTCAGGGCGGCAGATAGATGACTCAGTCCCCCGGAGGAGCGAGTCCCCGACCACCACCACCCGCCTTCTCCTCTTGGGAGTGGTGGTCGTGGAACTCCCAACCTCAGGACAGCGCATCTCATGCCTTCCAACCAGCGGAGTCTCCTTCTGCTTTCTCGCCCCAGACATATCATCTCATCTCATCAATATTTAGACACAGGATGAGATGTTGAGAGTTGATATATAGCTGTAAACCCAAATGTATTTGTTTTTGCAGGTTTAAATCAGACACTTAACATTAGAATCATAGAATCATAGAATATAAGGGTTGGAAGGGACCCCAGAAGGTCATCTAGTCCAACCCCCTGTGAGAACATTGCTGTGGTTTGTTTTCCCTTTTATTTGTTTTTAATCCATGTAAAACTCTAATGACTTGAAATCTTAAAGTTCAAAAATGCAACAACTGTTAACTAATTTTTCTTGTTGTTTAGCTGTTGTGCTTCAGTAGACGGTTTTGCTACTTGAGCATTATTTTCACTGGTGTTGTCTATGCAGAGGAGTATTGTTTAAAGGTTTTACTGTCATAGGCCTGATCCTATGTAGCCAGTGGACTCCACACAGGAGTAGCAGTACACCTGGGCATACTTCTTTGAAAGACTGGGGCCACAGTTTGCAGGTGTGATTTTGGTACTGCATCACAGTTGTGGGTCAGGAATGAGCTGCTTCTAATCAAATTAGTATAAACCTGTCATCTTTTTCTTTCCATATAATTATCAAGTGAAAGAGATTGAATGTGTTTGCTAAGAGTCTAATCTAGCATTCATATTGATGGCAATGGTAGCCTGTGCATTGCCTTCAATAAACACTGGATTGAACCCTAAGCCCCTTGGGACAGCGTTCTGAGACATCAATGTATTGTCAGATTTGTTATATTTGGAAGCCTTTTCTTCAGTGGGCCATAATCTAATTTTATATATACACGCACAGATATGGTATCTGTCTGTGAAATTCAGTTCTATATACATACTACATGAAAACGAAATAAAATCCATACCTTTGTACCCACAAACCTTTCAACCAACTTAAAAAAATACAGTAATGCCAAATCACAGATGAGGCTGTATATAAAAATAGTCAATTAATCATAAAAATAACTACTTTTAAAAATCTTTGGTGGCAAACATAGAGTCTATTACAAATGTGCACCCAAATCCAGTTTATGAACTCCCGTCAAATACACATAAGGATTTTCAGGATAATCTCTGTAAATGGAGAACTAGTACAATGTACACTTAAAACCATTTGCATGAAGCGTACCCTGCATAAAATTATCATTAAACTGGGGCTGCAGCTATAAATGTGGATATTTATTTTAAGCAATAAGAAGTTTACTTTAAAATATTGTAAGCAGTGAAACATGACGTCTTGCTCTAACTTCTCATATGCTCCCTTAATGTTGTCTGCAAAGTAACAAATGTTTTGTAATAATATTTCTATTATAAAGGTTGTTCAGAGCTTCAAGGTCAAGGAATGTATTTGCTTTAGGATGTCTTCTTCAAAGGAGCTGCTGTCTGTCACTGGAATAAGCTAAAAAATTATGCTGAGATAGCATCCTCACTAAGCCCATGCCACCACCTAAAACTTGTACCACTTTAACTATGCTGTTATTGTCTAGGGGTGCAACCTTCCTAACGCGGATGAAATTATATCAGTATAAATTTTCTTATTCCTATATGAGAAGGGGAATAAGCTATATTGGTATAAGTAGCCAAACTATCAAATTTATGATCCATTTTGGTCAATTTCACGGTCATGGGATTTTAAAATTAGTCAATTTCACGGTTTCAGATGTTGACATCTGAAATTTCAGGGTGTTGTAACTCTAGGGGTCCTGACTCAAAAGGGGTTGTGGGGAATCACAAAGCTGTTGTAGGGGGATTGTGAGATTGCCACCCTCACTTCTGGTCTGCCTTCAGAGCGGCAGCAGCTGTGGAGCTCCTTCCTGGAGGTGGGTCTGATCTGTTCCTGGCTGGGCTAGGGAGGGACAGGCCGACTTCTTCCCCTGCATTCCTCTGTCAGTACTTCTTCCTTTGCATTCCTCCGAGTACCTCCCTCAGCTCCAGGAAGCTCACCGGTGCACTGCCTAACTGAAATAGTAATACTGTGTGTAGACCAGGCTTAAATTAATTTCAATTGCCTCTCTCTGAGCACTGACAAAATAAAGTACGGAAGCTTTTTTGCTCTCTAAAGTTTTAGTCCTGTGGGGTGCTAAACATCCACAATGTTCTTTAACGTTAATGGCCATTAAGGTGCTCAGATTTAACTCCACAATCTTTTGGTTCTCTCTTGGCCCAAACTGCCTTTGAAATCAGTTGGAGATTGTTTGAGTAGTGTTGCCAATCTGAAGCTCTTTAAGGGAGATTGGTCAAGTCTTTAATTGCTTTAAGGGTTCAATTAAAATATAGCAGGTGTACCATCAGTAGGAAGTAGCTTGCCGTTAATGCATTAAAAATAATGTAGCTTTTCATGCATAGAAATGAGAGAGATGTTTTGGCACTGAAAACAAATTCAGTTTTTTAAACATTTTTCCGGAAGCTGAACGTAACTTATATATGATTACAAGTGTAAGCATTTTGCTACTTCTCGCCACAGGTTCAAATGAACAACTTTGTTGTTCCCTAACTACGGGCTCAATTGTGCATGATAGGCAGAGCAAAGTAAAGGCCGATGTGGAGGCAAACTGCCCCAGTGGGAGCTACGTATGGCACAGTGCCTCTGAGTGCTGCAGCATACATGGGAAGCACCCCATTAGTATGCCCTTCCAGAAGGGCAGCACAAATTCCCCTGCATGCCCAGAGAATATTTAATTAAAAGGGGGAAACCACTATTTGCAGTGAATTTAATTAAATTTTGGTGGGGAGGGTTCAACATCAGAAGTAAGAAATCTATAGGAAACAGACAGATTTCCTACTAAATTTTAGACTTTAGACTAGATTGGCAGTGTTTCTCATAAAAAATGCAGACTTTATTTTTTACTCCAAATAAACGTCCCTTACGTTTTTAAGCATTTATTTATTTTTAACCTTGTGAACACATCTGCCTCTTTAAACTGCTTTTTCCGTGTGACAGCTCATCATTTAATTTTAGTCTGGCAGTTAGATTTTCTCCTTATACTCTCTCAGATGGAGGAAACTTCAGAATTTTGTGCAGATTTTATCTAGGAGTCCCCCTTTCCCACTCCAGGCTATTTTAGGAACACAAAACCCTCTTTTCTTTTCTTTTCTTTTCTTTTCTTTTCTTTTCTTTTCTTTTCTTTTCTTTTCTTACCTTGATTTCCTTTTTCATTACTTCAAGGTTTCCAAGCATCTCTGCCTCTTTTTCTCTTTTTCATGGTTTATGCACACATCTGACCTCTGTCCCACTCTCCACTGGGACAAAATCATAGTTGCAAGGCTCCCATTGACTTCAACAGGCTTTGGATCAGGACCTAAACTTGGTTGTAGTTGTTTGCAGAATCTGGCCTGAGGATATTTTTAATCCAAGGACCTGATCCTGAAAGCCCTGTACATGTAGAATCACCTCTTGATTCCACTGGGAGTTCTGCCTATGGAGGACCAGAACTATATTTTTTTCTCATCATGCACTGTGCACACACCAGAATGTATTATTTAGATATGCAGGTAGACACATATTATGTATAGGGGTCTGTGTGTTGCCCTGGCCACCCCTCCAGGTACCTTCCCCGAAGCTCCGGACTGGCGTGCACTGGGGGGCAGGGCAGTCTCCCTCCCTGCCTGCACTGCCCCCGCACCACTCCAGGAAGCGGCCGGGACCTGGGGGAGGGCGGGGCACAGGGGTCTGTGTGTTGTCCTGGCCGCTCCTCCAGGTACTTCCCCCGAAGCTCTGGCCCGGCATGCACCGGGGGCAGGGCAGGCTCCCTCCCTGCCTGCCCTGTCCCCGCGCCTCTTCAGGAAGTGGCCGGGACCTGGGGGAGGGGAAGGTACCTGGAGGAGCGGCCAGGGCAACACACAAACCCCTGTGCCCCTCCCCCAGGTCCCGGCCACTTCCCGGAGCGGCGCGGGGGCAGGACAAGCAGGGAGGGAGCCTGCCCTGCCCCCGGTGCATGCCGGGCTGGAGCCGCTCTAGGTAAATGCTGCGGGGGCTGCGGGGAGCTGGCAGGCCAGAGAAAATAACCCCGCGGGCCGCATGCGGCCCACGGGCTGCGTGTTTGAGACCCCTGTTCTACACCTATACAATCCCACTGAAGTCAGTGTTATGCCCACATGGAACTAATTGTAGGATTGGGACATATGTATACATTTAAACAAATAAAACATAGTAGGCTCAATGGAGGCAGTGAAATATTACTGTAGAGAGAACACTTTGTAATGAAATCATGATATTTTTAAGACAGTTTAATTTAGACCTGAGCTGGTTTAGCAGAAGTAAACCTTTGAAATGGGGCATTACATTTTTTTAGCTAAGCACTTCAAAAGCTGTCAAAGTAGCTGTTGCCTCCTGTCTTAGAAGCTGTCAGAAATCTATAAATAAACAGATAATACAGAAGTAGAAAAATTCTTATGCTAACTGTTATTGTTATTAACACCCTTGTTTCTTTCTTTTTCTGTTTCTTTCAGCATATCCTATTCAGTACATGTCTCGGAGGATTATCCAGGTACAGTGCAACATTCTTGTGCTTGAAGCAAATATCATTGTTAGAGCAATATTCAGAGGTTCAGATGAAGATATTTGAAACTGCATTAATGTGTTCTAGGAGCTTCTTTTAGCTAATCATTTCCTGTTAGTTAGATTGTTTTCACAGTCATTCCTCCTTTTCAGCCTTGATTTGTCAGCCAGGTCAGGGTGAGAAAACCTGATTCACGAGTTTAGCGAGAAGGGAGTTGTGACGCTTACCATGTCTAAAGCCGTCAATGATGATAATCTAAAAACAACCTAACTCCTGTTTGGTATGAAATATATGGCTCGATCCAGTAAAGGGCTGAACATTCTGGCTCCTGATTCAACAAAGCACTTAAACATGTTTGTGAAGTCAATGGGACTACTCGTGTTCTTAATCTTAAGCAAAAAGAAAAGGAGTACTTGTGGCACCTTAGAGACTAACCAATTTATTTGATCATGAGCTTTCGTGAGCTACAGTGTGCTTAGGTGCTTTGTTGCATCAGTGCTGCATCTTTTAGGATCAAGACATAATATGTCTTAAAGGTCAAAACTGCTATAAGTGACAAGAATCTGTACGCTCTTTTTGTAATATTTTTCATTTTAATGTGTATTCCACCTTTTAGAAAACTCCTAAACAAATGACTAAGGCCCTAATCTTGCTAATTTATAGGTAAGAGTGGATCCATGTGCCCATGCAGAGCAAGAATAGACTGTGATCACCAAACAGACTGCTAGTATGTTTAATAACCCAGAACAGATTGTTGCCCTAGATGTTTGGGTGTTAATTAGACTGAAGGAGAATCCTCAGCAGGTAAATTTGTAGATATTATAGGAACAGCTCAGGGAATTATGGGTACATCAGTTTCATACATTTCTGTTACCTATGTCACATCACCACTATGGCACTAGTAACAATGTTGAAATCATCACCTAAAACTGAATGAATTGCTTCACAAATCTCTGAGTGATTGGAAACAGCTGAACATTAAGCTTAAGTCCCTGAACCAGTATGATGCGGCAACTGTCAGTAGTGGCAGCTATTGAAAAGTTTCATAGTTGTAAGTGAAACTAAAACTATTTTAAACAGTAAGGGTGTCTCCACATTGTTTATACATTGCTAAAGTCATGAAAGTATCACTGATATTTTTAGATGTAGTATTAATGGCACTGAGCATGATCTTTGAAACCATTTCCTCATCATGGTAACATAATATTAGGATAATTATGCTCCAAAAGAGCTGTATATACTGTCAATGAGTATACTAAAGTTCCATTAATATGAATTGATACAGTGTATCTGCATGACTCCTGTAGGAGACATTGAGTATTTTGCCAGTAAATAAATGTCCATAATGATACACATTGGCTGACGTAGAAATGTTATTGCCTATTGTTCCATTGATCTTTGTATGTTGTGTTAACTAACACATGCTGTGATGATGCCAAATGAGCACCATGTATTTATGGTTGAAAGACACAGTCCTGCGAGAAGTGGATCACTGGACCAATGCATTGCCTTCAGTGGGACTCTGCGTGGCACAGGAGGTCCATCCTGCTTAGATCTCATTGCAAGATCAGGGCCAAAAGAAGTTAACCTTCCTTTCTCCTACCCTTTACATGTTTTGCATATTTAGGCACTTCAGTGCACAAAGGAGACCCACAGATAGGAAGTAGTTCCTTTATGTCACTTATGGAAGCATACCAGTGGGGCAGCCTGGGAGACTGCTTGGATGGTGTCATTGGACTGTGGATCAGGCCCTTATTATGTGCCCATTATCCTAAGAACTGTTTCTCTTTTATAGATAACACATATGTTTCCAGTTCAGATAATGATGAAGATGTGTTAGTTACAACAGAGTCAATCCCAGTAATTTTCCATAGAATCGCAACAGGTAATATTAAGAGTCACAAATGATTTTTCAAGTTAAAGTTTTGTGGGGGACTGCAGGATACTGCCCATACATAAAAAATGATATGCCAATACGGATTGCTGTGCATCTTGTAGTTTTCGCACAAGCTCATTGTTGGGTATGGTCATACCTTTTGGAATAGAAGCAACTAAAATATTTCTTTTGGGGAGTGTATAGGCAATGTATGTTTTTTACTCATTCCATGGCTTGCAATCATGCTAAAGCAATCCTATTTGAATGCAATGGGACACATTTGCTGATCATTAAGGCTGCCCAACACTTCCCTTTGTAAGACCTCATTTTCATTTGCTTATCACTTTGCTAAATTTTAACCATTTGGGATGAACATTTCTATGTCAGGTGTCTACCTCAGGCTGAATTTTTTTAAATGTTCAGCATAAATGGTTTAGCCATTTTCGAGAACAAAGCTAGGGAAGAACACATTGTTTTGACCATGTTAAAAAATTCCAGCACCCTTATCTTTGAAAAGCTCTAGCAACCTCATGCTTTGGAGCAGAGACTTGAAATTTGCCAGGGATGTACGTTTTGCCAACCAACCCCATGAAAATCTGCCCACATTTGGCTAAGTTATAAGCTTTTAAAAATCGCAGTTCATATATGCTCAGCTGCTAAATTCCTTAAATATCCTGTCCACATTAAGCATGTTGCAGCACAGGACTGACTCCCTACAGTTGCAGCTCTGAGGTGCTGCAAGCTGTGCTGGGTTTGGGTTTGGACATGTGAAATGAGAGTAGGAAAATTCTCTCTTCTGTGCTCTCAGTGACTCCACTGCAGGACCCGGGCAGTGTGGAGGAGGAAGCTGTCAAATTGGACCGCAGAGGGGACAAGAACTGGAGTGGCAGGAGTAGATTGGGATCCTGGGGGTAGTGGGAGATTGTAACTGGAAGCTGCCAGGAGGAGAGAAGAAAACTGGGAGTGGGAGCTGGGTTGGGATGAGAGGCAGGGGTAGAGGCTGAAACTCAGAGCTGGGGGACAAGCTGGGATTGGCTGGGAAAGGGAACTGCGACTAGCTGGACAAGGAGACTGGGACTGGAAGCCAGGGAAGGAAACAGGGAATGGGGATGGGGGACTGGGAGCAAGTGGGTAGAAAGGAGACTGCATAGGCAACCTTAATTCTGTCATTTCCTAACTTTTGAGTGCTTGATTTTGCAACCTTAATAATGTTATTTTAACATAGTCTTTTGTGTTTAACGTAGAATTATCCTGAAAAATATACTCTTGGTGCAGGAATGGAAAACTGTTACAAAGTTGCTAGAAAGCAAACATTTTAGGCCTGAAATCTGATCTCACTTAAACTGATGTAAATCAGTGGAGTTACAGAGAAGCAAAACAGCTATGAGATCGTAATCAAACCTTTAAGATAAATATTTTTCTTTAAAGATATTCGTGTTATAATATTTTAAATCAAGCGTGAAATTTTATATTAAACGTCAAAACAAAACCTTTGTCTTCATAAAGAAAATGAAATGACTTTATTTTGCCAGTTTCTTTTATTCTTATGTAAAATCCGATTAAAATCAATATCTCAATTGTCATCTTGTAACATTCCAGCATAGAAGAAATTTAAAATGGCACCCAATTACGGTGACATGTAGAGTACAGACATGGCACACCCAGTTAGCACAGCTATAAATAGCAGTGTAGACAGTGAGGCATGGCTTGGGCAAGTACAGTAGAGTGACACACCTGAACCTCCAGGGTATATACTCTACATGGCTCTCTAAACTCCCAAGCAGTGCCTCCCAGGGCATCTACCTGGCTATTATAATGTTCTGCTGCCTGCCCTCTGCTGGAGCCTTTCCCTGTTGTCTACACGTTGGCCAGAGCCTTTCACTGTGGCATACAACCACACACCGCAGTGCCAAGTGTGGACACAGCCTGCTGTTCACTGCAGTGAGTAGCTACATATGCAGGTCCTGTACTCTACACACCTCCATAAGTGTGGACATAGCTTAAGTCTAGTTTACAAGTAAATAAAAGTGATGGGGAAATATCTATTTATGCAGCATTTTGTATTGTAGAATCATGGATTCCTGAGGCATCTTGGCTTCTTGTTTTTATATTGCTAGATTGTAAGCTCTTTGGAGCAGGGACAGTCTTTTTGTTCTGCGTTTGTACAACACCTAGTACAGTGGAGTCCTTGTCCATAACTGAGGCATCTAGGTGTTACAGTAATGCAAATACTACTACTACTACTATTATTATTTCAGTTCTGTTTTTTAATTACATAAATAAAATGATTTTAGATTTGTCATGGCTATTAACTATTTTCCTTTTTAATTATTTTTTTTAGAATTAAGAAAAACCAGTGATGTTAACTGTTGCTTATCTATAAAATCAAAATTACAGAGGGAAAATGGAGAGGTATGGTATTGCTTTATTAATGTAGTCCTTATACATATTTTCATTGGAAGGTAGAGTAACAAACTACAAAATGACAGGTTTCAGAGTAGCAGCCGTGTTAGTCTGTATTCGCAAAAAGAAAAGGAGTACTTGTGGCACCTTAGAGACAAACCAATTCATTTGAGCATAAGCTTTCGTGAGCTACAGCTCACTTTGCATCCGATGAAGTGAAATGTAGCTCACGAAAGCTTATGCTCAGATAAATTTGTTAGTCTCTAAGGTGCCACAAGTACTCCTTTTCTTTTTGAAACAACAAAACATAACAATATTTCTTTTGCATTTAATTTGTTAAAATAAACACAAGGATAAAATTCTGGCCCCACCAAAGTCAATGAGACTTTTGCCGTTGACATCAAAGAGGTCAGGATTTTACTCCAGATGTACACAAACAATCTATAGTTTTGCAAGGAGGTTGTTAAAAGATATGCAAAGTGTTATCAATCTAGGATGACTGAACCTTTCCCATAAAATAGACGCTTTCTGCCTTGGAAGTACAACTGTGTCAGAGAAGCTGGTCACACAGCAATTGTCTCCTAACTTGGTCTTATGCACAGGACCAGATATTTCAAACATTCACTTCCTAGCTTAGTGCTTACTAATGTGAGCATGACAGTCCCATTGAAGTCAATGGACCTGTTCATGACAGAGTTAACAATAGGTGTTTTTTGGAGTATCAGGCCCCATGATTTCAGTGTGTAATTTATACTTCGTTTCATAACTAGGTCTGATCAGGGACATAACCTAGTTAAGAAACAGCATTAAGATGAAATCTTTGGTGAAAACTGACACACACGCAGTCTGGCAAACCCTTATTACCAATCATACTGCTTATTACCACATTACTGCCACTGTAATCAAAGGGCTTAAGCACTTTATGGCCCTGATTCAGGAAAGTGCTAAAGCACATGTTTAGTGTTAAATGCTTTCTTAAATAAGGATAAGTTCCTGAACTGTAGTCTACTTTTGGTTGTAATGGTTTGCTGGTTTCATCACGTTTTATACTGAGATAGAGGACAGCCCTGTTACAGCGAGGTTTCCTGATGTGGTTGTGTTTGCAGCATATAGGGCCTTATTTTATATAAGAAGTTGCAGTGGAAATTTTTGACTTGCACTATCACAGAATTTTATTCAATGATCTTTAAAGCTTAGAGAACCAAAACAGTCACAAATTGCAAAGTATTGTGGAGTACATTCCTGGTGAAGAAATATTTTTATTTTTAAAAATGTTAGTTGAAGTTAGATTTATTTTCACGATGAAAAGCTTGAGATAGGTTTAATTTTCATGGCAAATAAATTGAACTTTTTATAAATTTTAAATTGAATTAGGATCCAAGTAAGGCATTTATTTAAGAAACCCTGTTAATGAAAATCTTTAACACCAACCATGTCTGTGAGCCAGACAATCATAGTCTTTACTTCATTGTGTGATTATATCATATATGATGGGTTTATTACTCTTCTAGTATGAGGAGTTCCATTTTTCTTTGTTTGTATAGTTGGTGTATTTATTTTGTTTATATTTGCAGCATGCTTCCCATGGAGCTAAGGTTATTATTAGGCAGAGGAAACTGAATACATCCTTTTGTTTTTCTTCAGTAAAATACCAGCAAAAAATTCTTAAAATTGCTATGAAATTGGCTGAAAATACGATTTTCACTCAGTACACACATGCACAGCATATAGTATGAATTTACAGGCAGAGGTAAGGAGATAAGATTAGAATATGAGGCCATGGAATTGGTGGCAAAAGTATATCTGACTTTTCTGAATATATAAGATTAGAGGGAAAATTCTGTTCAATTCACACAGTTGATTTCTGGGTCATTATGGAAGTTTTGTGCCTCCTGTGAATGCAAAATGTGCAATAGATAAAGTGTGGGTCAAATAGGAGAATTTAGTCTTTATGATTTTATCAAGTATTCAATTTATGTGAGCTCCTGTTAACAGACGGGCTGTGAATGACAAATGGATTGTGGGAAATCAAGCAATAATGTCCTTAAGCAGTTGAATGACATTAAGCAAGAACTAAAGTGTGACTTTCTAACTTACATTGATAAAATGGTACCTTTTTCTATGAGTCGGCCCTATTGTGAGTGTAAATTAATAAGTTAATTCTTTTAAAGGTATTTGAAGATGAATGTTGTTATGTAAAATCTAAGTGTTATTTATGTTGTTGACAAATTAATATAGACTATTATAGTTGATTTGCCAGAATACAATAGGTTAATGTCCTCTAGGTAGAGACCTACAAAGTTCATGGTCCATTTGGGTCAATTTCATGGTGATGGGATTTTAAAAATTGTAAATGTCATGATTTCAGCTATTTAAATCTGAAATTTCACAGTGTTGTAATTGTACAGCTCCTAACCTAAGTTCCTTCTAAGCTGCGTGGCCACGCAGCTGCCTATTAAGCCCCGCACAGGGGCTCAGGACTTTGGCGGGGAGAGGCGCCCTTCCCCGCCTGCCAAAGCACGGACCTACCTTGGTGGGGAGAGGCACCCCTCCCCGCCGGCACAAGCACCAGCGCGGATTTGCAGTAGCAGGGAGAGCCACCCCTCCCCAATGGCCCCAGCATGGACCAGCCCTGGCTGGGGGCGAGGAGCCCCTCCCTCGGCCCGGCCGAGCCCCGCCGAAGCTGGCGTGGCCAGGGAGAGGCGCCTCTCCCCTGGCCCCGAGCTGCTGTGGCGAGAGAGGGCTCGGGGGAGTCATCTCTCTCCCCACTGCAGCCCGGGGGCAGCCTGCACCCCAAATCCATCATCCCCAGCCCCACCCTAGAGCCCGCACCCCAACCCTCTGCCCCAGCCCCCTGAGCCCCCTCCCGCACCCTGAACCCCTCATCCGCAGCCCCACAACAGAGCCTGCACCCCCAGCCAAAGCCCTCATCCCCCCTCACCCAAACCTCTGCCCCAGCCCTGAGTCCCCTCCCACACTCAGAACCCCTTGGCCCCACCGTATGAATTTTGTTATGTACACCAATATGAAGGTGATATGTCATACATCGCCTCCATATTGGTGCATATAACAAAATTCATTCACACATGGACGTAAAAAATTAGAGGAAACACTGGTCCTGACCCAAAAAGGAGTTGTGGGGGGGGTTGCAAGGTTATTGTAGGGGGGGTTGCAGTACTGCTACCCTTACTTCTGCACTGCTGCTGGCGGCGGCGCTGCATTCAGAGCTGGGCAGCTGGCGAGTGGCGGCTGCTGGCCAGGAGCCCAGTTCTGAAGGCAGAGACACAGCCAACATCAGCGCAGACGTAAGGAGGGCATGGTATGATATTGCCACCCTTACTTCTGCACTGCAGATTGCAGAGCTGGGCCCTCAGTCAGTAGCCACCACTCTCCGGCCGCCCAGCTCTGAAGGCAGCAGCGCAGAAGTAAAGGGCAACATGGAATGGTGTTGCCACCCTTACTTCTGTATTGCTGCTGGCATGGCGGGGCGATGCCTTCAGAGCTGGATGCCCGGGCAACAGCTGCTGCTCTCTGGCTGCCCAGCTCTGAAGGCAGCGTAGAAGTAAGGGTGGCAGTACTGCAATGCCCCTAAAATAACCTTGTGACACCCCCCCCGGAACTGCCTTTTGGGCCAGGACCCCCAATTTGAGAAACACTGGTCTCCCCTATTAAATCTGTATAGGATAGAGTAAAAGCACCCAAAAGACCAAATTCAAAGAGGAGATGAGATTTCATGGTTTGTGATGCATTTTTCATGGCCATGAATTTGGTTGGGCCCTACCTATAGGGGGAGAGTTGAATTTTGCCATTCATTGTTTCAGTCAGGCCCACAATCCTCTTGCCTATACGTTACTAATGAAAACTCTAACTAAAGTGTGTGAAGTGTTTATTTGTAACATACATAATTACAAAAAGCAGAAAAGCAAATGTAATTCTCCTGTTTCATTTGCTAACATTTATTTATTTATTTAAATAAGGACTCGAGGCACAATAGTGCAGTTGAAGAAGATTCTGAAGGAGATAATGATTCTGAAGAATTTTATTATGGGGGACAGGTAAGGGAGAGCATTTTCCCAATAATTTTAAAGTTGCAAACAATGTCATTTGAAGGCTTCTGAGATTATTTATTTTGTGTTTTATATTGATCTTCAAATTTGTGCAGTTGTAAGGACAAGAAAACTAATTGTAACTTGGATGTTTTTTAAAATGGGATCTATTTTTTAGCTTCCAGGAAATAACTGTTCCCTCTATAAAGCATATATCCTATTGACATCAATGGAGCAAAATGGGGTTGCAAACTCTTATGCGTTGAGGTTGTCATCTGGTAAAAATAATAGCACTGCATTTTAACAGTAAAAGCGGAAGCTACAAAACTCTTGTGATCTATATTACACTAAATTTTATCCTTCCTGAGCCTTGTAGTCTAATTCACCTAGAGAGAAGCTGATTTAAAAAAAATTATATCTCTGTATATTTCCCTCTTGTTCCCTCAGCAGAATTATTTATTATCATATCCTAGTCCCTACTGGAAATTAAAATGTTCCCTTTGTACTTGTTTCTTTTGAGAGGTCAATGGAGTGTTTAACTAGGGCACTCTCTTTACTCTTGATGTTCAGAAATCATCAACTAAGGGACCAATAAATGCAAACAGTGTTCATTCATGGGGGTGGTTTTTGTTATATAGGCACTCGGCCACCAGGAATCAGACTGAGAACACCATTCCATAAGCTACCAATTAGCTGTTAAATAGTAACAGGTTTTGGTCAATATTTGCCTGGATTGTGTTTGAACTGGTAACATTACATTCTATTTATGTAGCACCCTGGCTCCATGGAAAGAGAGAGGGGAATAAAATACAGTAATCACCAAAAGCAAAAAAAAATCAACAGCTGTGATTGTCCTGAATGAGTACAAAATATTGGGTAAGCAAAAAGAGGAAGTGAGAAGACGAGAGATCATTAGAAGTGCATTAATGAGAGGAAAAGAAACAGGTTATGAGATGGAGTATAAATTGAGAGAGTGAGGCATGGTCTACACTACTGCAGTAAATAGATATAAGTTACGTTACTTCGGGTACGTGAATAACGTAACTAAAGTCGCCGTGGGTAGATCCATTGACTGTAGTGTCTACACTGTGCTGTGTCGACAGGAGACACTCTCCCGCCAACTTACCTTACACTTCTCGGGGAGGTGGAGTACAGAAATCAATGGGAGAGCACTCTCCCATCAATTTGGCATGTCTTCACCAGACTCACGAAATCAATGCCACCACATCGATTGCAGCAGCACCCATTTAGCTCCATAATGAAGACATGCCCACAGAAAGAGAAAGTGAGTTCTAAAGAGTTTTGTGTAGAAAAGAAAAGCATGAAGAATTAAGGCAATAGAAGAAGTGTGAGATGAATGAAGGGAGCAAATAGGAAGACAAGTAATAGACAAGCCCCATAAGGAAGTGTTATGTTAATTTAGATAGAATAAATGGACCAAAGGTGTTAACATAACCAGTCACTGACTGTCATTAAACAGTGTTAAACAAGGTCTGGCATTTGGCATAGAGAGACCTCAGCCTGCTTAGTACGATGGCAAAGACACCATTAAAAAGCCTTTTAACCTTTTATTAAAGATATAGAGAAGAAGAGAAAACAGTTAAAGCATTTTAAATGTAAAGTACTAAGGAAAGCTTTCATTCTGATGACATTTCTTGTTCCCTTTCCCTTTATCTGGAAAGAGTTTTAAAAGGGAAAAAATAAAAACCTTGTTTGATTGTCTCTTAGATGGTATCAGAGAAGGTAATGCCTTCCTTTTGGATAAAAGAGAAGAAGTTAGTTGAGATGAGCTGGAGTGGCTGTTGCTCTTGTTAAAATCCTGTCCTATTTCATCCAAAGTGGTGTTATGGATTCTGCTGGAGTTGGTAGAGGTGGCAATGGTATCTGTGTCCCTCTCTTTGGCCATCAGGATTAAGACAAAGAAGATCTTTGGTAGGGGTGATGGAGATGGTAGGGGTGGCAGCCAATGGTGACGCTCATGCCAGTAGCCTCCATCTGTCTTCTGTATTCTTCTCCTTAAGGCTTTATCTTTAAGAACCCAAAAAAGACAGTGATTAGTGGAATAGCACATCCCCTCATTATTTTGTCTATTGAGTATGCCTAATATCTGATACACCAATTTTGGTTCAATAATTTCTGGTTCTACATCTTTTTTTCAACACAGTCATTGAATTATACAAACATGGCCCTTTTTTGTTTGGACTAATTTAATGTCTGCCTGATGCTTTCTTTCTAGATACTCAAACTGTTTAGAAAGTGATAAATGCCAATTTAACCACATGAGAAATACAACTGGAGAAGAAATTGCTAGTCAAAGATAATCTTGCCATTTTTAACTGGTGACAACTGAAACAATGAGAGACTTGATTGTGAGAAAAAGGGAAAGTAGAAAAGAGGAAAGGGTTTGGGAGTGGTGGTAAAGAAAAGACATAGGCTATGTCTACTCTACAGTCTATGTTGGCATAACTTATGTCTCTCAGGGGTGTGAATAAGCCACCTCCGAGCGATATAAGTTACACCAACATAAGCGCTTGTGTGCACAGAGCTTTTCCCACCAACATAGCTTCTTCTGTTCTGGAGGTGGTTTTATTATGCCTAAAGGAGAGCTCTCTCCTGCTGGCATGAAGCCTCTTCACTAGATCATCAGTACAGCTGCACCACTGCAGCTCTGTACTACGTGTAGACATGCCCATAGTGTCTCAGTCCATAGCGGAAAGGTTTGCATCACCTGTATAAAATTTCCCCAAAAGATAAATTGGGTAAACAGTTTAACAGTAGCTAAATGACTTAGGCACCTAAGTCCTATTAATTTTCAATGGGAATGAGGGCTTGTCTACATTAAGAATTCGATCATGCCAAGGTGGGGTGTGAATCTACCCTGTGTTAGCTTGCTGCAGACTAATTGTCTGTGTGAACACTGCTGATGCACAGTTTGTTAATGTGCTTTGATGCACTCCTCTTTGAAATGGGATTTAGGAGTTATCTTCCTAAATCATTTGAACTCTTTTTAAGAGTTCTTACCCATTGTTGTTATGTTGGGACAAAAAAAATCTGTATCATGTCTGAGATTAAATGTGGAGACAAGCCTTTCAGATATGGCAAACTTATCAGACCTTTTACTTTTGGGACCTTTAACTCTTATACTTGCTCTCTGTGAGAGTCTTTATGAGCTCTTCCTTTGAATCTCTACCCTCTGTACATTTGCAGAAGATAACAGCAGATCAGCTCTTGTTGGAACAATAACACCATTGCTTTTAGAGTAACAGCCGTGTTAGTCTGTATTTGCAAAAAGAAAAGGAGTACTTGTGGCACCTTAGAGACTAACCAATTTATTTGAGCATAAGCTTTCGTGAGCTACAGCTCCCTGAAGTGAGCTGTAGCTCACGAAAGCTTATGCTCAAATAAATTGGTTAGTCTCTAAGGTGCCACAAGTACTCCTTTTCTTTTTACCATTGCTTTTGGTTCTTATTCATGCTGCTCTTACGGTGTAAACTTGCAGATGCAGTTGTAAAAAACCTCTGCCTTTAATCAAAGTTGCCACTCACTTCTGCACGTTCATAAATGTGGCTAGGGTTGTATCACAGGGATGGGCAATACCTTATATGATCCTAATATGGTGTTCCTCCTTGCCAATAGGGGAACACAGAATTGCTGCCCTTTCCAGCCCTTAGCCAGAAATTGTTTGGGGAAGCATTATATTGGGGAGCCAGGCAACCCACATATTGTTCTGGACAGATTTTTGTGATACTTGATATAATAGGGAGAAAAAAGATGGCAAGTCAAGTATGTTGTGATTCACAGGATGATCACCCTTCTCTGTTCATAAGGCAGGACTCCATAATCATCAATACATGCTATAAAAATTCCACGACCCACCTTTGCCTCAACTGTTTTTCTGCATATCAAAGCCAGGGCCTACATCCGCAAGCAGGGAAATTGCCTGGGGCCCCACGCCACAGGGGACCCTGCGAAGTTAAGTTGCTCAGGCTTCAGCTTCAGCCCAAGGTAGCAGGGCTTGGGACCCTGAGCTTCAGACCCATGCGTTGGACTTTAGCTTTCTACCCTTGGGCCTAGCAAGTCTAATGCTGGCCATCCTTGGTGGACCCTCTGAAACCTGCTTGTGGCCCCCTAGGGGGCCCTGGACCACTGGTTGAGAACTCTGGAGTATATATATGTGGTGTTGGAATTTTTATTTTTAAAAAAGATAGTTTTTCCCTCATCTAACATGAAAAAATAAAGGATGAGCTTATGATTATGTCAGCAACTTGAGACAGTGATGGGTCCTAGTTTTTTTACTTCTTGATGGGGGATGTGTAGGGATGGCAGTCCTACCTTACTCACCCTCTCCCTGACAACTGATTCTGTCTGATTCAGCAAAATGCCAGTACCCCAGCAACAGCATCCTTTTTCCCTTCCCTATATTAGACCTAGCTTCTGCATCATAGAGGATAAGAACAAGACTCTTTCCAGAGCTACGCCTTCCAGCTTTGACCAGAATAAGTCAGTGATACACTAGCTCAGATCCCTCCCTTTTCTAAATGTTCTTAGTACGTCTGGTAACCTTGTGCTGCTGCTACATTGGTGGGTTTCAGATGGGCTTCAGATTCTTTGATTAATTCCAAATGTGGTCAAATTATCATTGGCTAATTTTCACTTATAAAGGGGGATCAGATGAGTACTGTTTAATTCAGTTGAAATACACATCTCTAAATGCCAGACTTGATACAGACCACTGAATCTCAGATTTAGAATCCTACTACATATGATGTACAAATCAAGGGTCCAGTGCTGCCATCAGTTACGCCTGTGTAACAAGCGTTGTCAGTGGGAAGTCTACATGGATATTTAAGGGCAGAATTGGACTCTAGTGCTTCATTCTTTGCCTTTCTCTGTGAGACAAAGCCAAATTCTGCTCTCATTTCATTTTGTACTAGTCCAAATCTGGGGAAATTGACTTCTGTAGAGTTACTCCAGATTTAAACTAGTGTAACAGGATACAATGTGACCACACCATCGATAGGCATTCACTATAACTGTAAAAATATTTATGGATTACAGTATTTTTTCCTAAAGGACAATACCTGGTACCTTTAAAATGATATATTGTAGATCCTTATAGAGTATAGACAAATATAACTTATTTGGACCTCAGACAGTCTAACCAAACTATCAGTTTTGTTCTATGATCTTAAACTTCCATTGGCTGTTTCTACCTTCCATATGCAATGGAGGTGTGCAACGATACATTTCCTACTATATTATTCATACATTTTCAAGAGGAAAATGTCATGTTATGTCATGTTTCAGAGTAGCAGCCATGTTAGTCTGTATCCAAAAAAGAAAAGGAGTACATGTGGCACCTTAGAGACGAACAAATTTATTAGAGCATAAGCTTTCGTGACCTACAGCTCACTTCATCGGATGCATACAGTGGAAAATACAGTGGGGAGATTTTATGTATACAGAGAACATGAAACAATGGGGGTTGCCATACAGACCGTAACAAGAGAGATCAGGAAAGGTGAGCTATTACCAGCAGGAGAGTTGGGGGGGGGGGACCTTTTTTAGTGATAATCAAGGTGGGCCATTTCCAGCAGTTGACAAGAACATCTGAGGGACAGCAGGGGAGGCGGGGGAGGAAATAAACATGGGGAAATAGTTTTACTTTGTGTAATGACACACCCACTCCCAGTCTTTATTCAAGCTTAATTTAATTGTATCCAGTTTGCAAATTAATTCCAATTCAGTAGTCTCTCAATGGAGTCTGTTTCTGAAGTTTTTTTGTTGAAGAATTGCCACTTTTAGGTCTGTAATCGAGTGACCAAAGAGATTGAAGTGTTCTCCGACTGGTTTTTGAATGTTATAATTCTTGACGTCTGATTTGTGTCCATTTATTCTTTTATGTGGAGACTGTCAAGTTTGGCCAGTGTACATGGCAGAGGGGCATTGCTGGCACATGGCATATGACATTGCTGGCATATATCACATTGGTAGATTTGCAGGTGAATGAGCCTCTGCTAGTGTGGCTGATGTGATTAGGCCCTATGATGGTGTCCCCTGAATATATATGTGGACACAGTTGGCAACGGGCTTTGTTGCAAGGAGAGGTTCCTGGGTTAGTGTTTTTGTTGTTTCAGAGTAACAGCCGTGTTAGTCTGTATTCGCAAAAAGAAAAGGAGTACTTGTGGCACCTTAGAGACTAACCAATTTATTTGAGCATGAGCTTTCGTGAGCTACAGCTCACTTCATCAGATGGTTGCTGGTGAGTATTTGCTTCAGGTTCGGGGGCAGGGGGGGGCTGTCTGTAAGCAAACTATTTTCCCTTGTTTATTTCCCATCCTACTGTTCTTGTAAAGTGCTGGAAATGGCCCACCTTGATTATCACTACAAAAGGTTCCCCCGCCCCCAGCTCTCCTGCTGGTAATAGCTCACCTTTTCTGATCACTCTTGTTACAGTGTGTATGGTAACACCCATTGTTTCATGTTGTCTGTGTATATAAAATCTCCCCACCATATTTTCCACTGTATGTATCCGATGAAGTGAGCTGTAGCTCACGAAAGCTTATGCTCTAATAAATTTGTTCGTCTCTAAGGTGCCACAAGAACTCCTTTTCTTTTTATCTTGGGTCATGTCACTTTTCTCTATATGGTTTATGGTGTTGTAGGCTATCAGTAATAATAACAAAGCGACGAGTTCTAAGTCACTTAAGTGCTTTTGAAAATTATATACTGTATCCCTAATTAATTATTTTCGAGGTGATTGATTTCCTTGTCTCATGTGACTTTTTATCAGTTTATATTTTTGTTTTTAAAATGAAGTGGTTTTAGATTGGAGAAATATTAGCAAGTAGAGTTATACAAATCTAGGAAGAAAGGAGGACTTCAGTGAGACCAAGATTTCACACTGTATTTTTGGGTAGTTTCTATAGATCCCCATAAATTTCATTCCTATTAAATTCAATAGGATTTTTCGATAAGATATATTTATATTTATAGATATATTTATGATCTGGAGGATGGTGTGGATTGCACTCTCAGCAAATTTGCGGATGATACTAAACTGGGAGGAGTGGTAGATACGCTGGAGGGGAGGGATAGGATACAGAAAGACCTAGACAAATTGGAGGATTGGGCCAAAAGAAATCTGATGAGGTTCAATAAGGATAAGTGCAGGGTCCTGCACTTAGGACGGAAGAACCCAATGCACAGCTACAGACTAGGGACCGAATGGCTAGGCAGCAGTTCTGCGGAAAAGGACCTAGGGGTGACAGTGGACGAGAAGCTGGATATGAGTCAGCAGTGTGCCCTTGTTGCCAAGAAGGCCAATAGCATTTTGGGATGTATAAGTAGGGGCATAGCGAGCAGATCGAGGGACGTGATCGTTCCCCTCTATTCGACATTGGTGAGGCCTCATCTGGAGTACTGTGTCCAGTTTTGGGCCCCACACTTCAAGAAGGATGTGGATAAATTGGAGAGAGTCCAGCGAAGGGCAACAAAAATGATTAGGGGACTGGAACACATGACTTATGAGGAGAGGCTGAGGGAGCTGGGATTGTTTAGCCTGCAGAAGAGAAGAATGAGGGGGGATTTGATAGCTGCTTTCAACTACCTGAAAGGGGGTTCCAAAGAGGATGGCTCTAGACTGTTCTCAATGGTAGCAGATGACAGAACGAGGAGTAATGGTCTCAAGTTGCAGTGGGGGAGGTTTAGATTGGATATTAGGAAAAACTTTTTCACTAAGAGGGTGGTGAAACACTGGAATGCGTTACCTAGGGAGGTGGTAGAATCTCCTTCCTTAGAGGTTTTTAAGGTCAGGCTTGACAAAGCCCTGGCTGGGATGATTTAACTGGGAATTGGTCCTGCTTTGAGCAGGGGGTTGGACTGGATGACCTTCTGGGGTCCCTTCCAACCCTCATATTCTATGATTCTGTGATTCTATTATTATTATTACTACAACTACTTCTGCTACTGGTATTACTGTAGTGCTTAGGAACCTGAGTCAGGGACCAAGACCTCCTTGTGCTAAACACTCTACAAAAACAGCAAAAAAGACAGTCTGTGTCCCAAAGAGTTTACAATCTAAGCATAAAACAAGAGCAAACAGATAGTTACAGACAGAAGGGGGAGTACAAGGAAACAATGAGACAACATGGGTCAGTATGATAGAGAGTGGTCTCAGCATGCGAGTGGCCTAGCCTTTTCAAGTTTTTTGTAGGCATCATGCGAAAGGAGAGTTTGAAGGAGGAATTTGAAGGAGGACAATGAAGTGGCTCTGCCTGTATTTGAACTTGGAATGAATTTTGCCAATTTTACACAATTTTTGCAAATAAGTTCCTCCTTTCCTGTTGCACAGCCAGTTTGTTTTTCACCAGAAAAAAATGAAATTGGTCAAGTGCTAAGATGCCAAATAAACTCACCAACAGACTGACTTTTATCTTCATAGAAAAGGAAATATTGAAAGTGAAGCTTTCACTTTTTTCACAAAAATCCCATTGTCAATTTTTTCCTTTCTTTTTTTCATATGGCCTTAGCAGCAGCTTGTGTTTTGGTATAGTACCATGGTAAACATACCATCAATGGAACATGGAGGCGAACAATAGAAGAGAAAAGACCAGATGAAATTCACGAAACGACTTGAGTAACACTACCACATTGCACTTAGAATACTATGAAAATGTTGCTTCTAGTAAAAAAATAAAATAAAAACACCCCCCATATTACATTTTTCTGCAGGTTAACTACGATGGAGAACTTCACAAGCACCCACAGCTGGAAGCTGATTTGACAGCAGTGAGAGAGATCTATGGGCCTAACGCAGTATCTCTCAGGTACATCATTTTATTGGGTAAAATTCTTGTCAGTTCTGTGGCTGGAAAAAGGACATGAAATTGGTAATCAGCAGCATGAGTTTAGGGAATGGAAGCTAGTTGGCTATATTCTGGCATGCTTGACATGTTGCAGATAGGCTTTTATGCAGGATCTCCATCACAAACTATAGAAAGGGCCATAACTAAGGCGACGATTCAGTCACAGGTATTTTTAGTAAAAGTCATGGACAGGTGCCCGGCAATAAACAAAAATTCATGGCCCATAACCTATCGATGACTTATACTATAAATACCCCTGACTAAATCTTGGGGGGGCACCCTAGGAGGATGCTTACGGGGGTGCCCTGGGAGCCCGCTGCTGAGGGGGACCCGCGGCACCAGCTGCCGGGGGACGCTAAACAGTGGCTGCTCCAGCCACCCTGGGACCCCTGCCAGAGGCCGCCCCCGGGACCACTGCTCAGGCAGTCCCCAGGGCCAGCCGCATTGGTTGCTGCTCGGGCAGTTCCCGGGGCCAACTGCCCGGGACCACCTGAGCAGTGGCTAGGGCAGCTGGCTCCAGGGCCGCTCCAGCAGCAGGAGCCAGCTGCTTGGGCAGCCCTGGGGTCAACCACATTGATAGCTGCAGAAGTCTTGGAGGTTGCGGAAAGTCACGGAATCTGTCACTTCTGCGACCTCTGTGACAAAAACAAAGCCCTAGTCATAACCTACAGATTTCTAGGGGGATAATTTATATCAACTAAAGGAAAGTGAATGAACATTATGATGTAGCAGTGATGATTCTGAGCTCTGCTTTGTAGTGTTGTTGAACTTACTAATACAGCTGCCTATGCTCAGAACAATTTCTTAAGGCACCATCTTGTAAACATTAAAGTCAATGAGAGTGTTGCTTTTAACTTTAATGGGGACAGGATTGGGCTGTTATATTTTGATTAAAATTACTGTTAAGCATAATATAACTCAACATATTTGTTAAATTATCTTTGCTCTGTCATGTAGTCCATAATGTTTTCATGAGGTATTATTTTAATAATAATGATAAATACATTATGACCAGTTGGCAAGATTTAACACATCTGGTTGCAAAGTGATGGAGAAAATATCACCTTGATAATATGATATGAGACAAGAAATAAAAAACTACACGGGACCTAATGATCATCTTGCATATTTTGCATATAACAATTTCCATGAACCTATATAATATGTTAACTATTTTATTCTAAGAAAAGAGATATTGTTTAAAACTAAGTTGTGTGGTGCTGCTGAATAACGTGCCCATTTAATTTATCAAGTGTACATTTTAATGACATATATTTAATTCCTTGGATGATATTCCTAAAAGAAAAAAGTCTTCATTATCTGCCGTTTGAAGTTAAGTGGAAATTCAGTTGATTTAAAGGACATTGGAAATTTAAATCCAAGCAGTTGTACATGACTTAAGAAATGAATGAGATAATCATTTAGTTGTCAGACTGTTAACTGCTACACTGTGTGAAACTCTGTATACCTTATATAATATGTTCCCTCAGGCACTTAACATTACAACAATGAATATAACCTTTTAAAAATGTTAATGCATTTAATTTATTGAATAATCTGCTTCATTGTGGGCTATGCCATCTCTTAGGGCTCAATTCATTAGAATTTGGTATCTGTGACTGCTTCTGGCATGTGGAAAACTTTTGTGCCTCCTATGTTCTTCAGCAGTTGAGAATACCCATATATCTTTGGCAACCACAAAATGCAACGTTAGGCATTCAGTTGCATCCTCTACTCTAATCCTAATTCCCTTACTGCACCAAATCCAGCTGACAGTGACATTGGGGGCACCCGCTGAATGAGACTATATCTAAGGGCATGTCTACATAGCTGTTTGGAGAGCACTTTCCAGTGTTGGTAGATAGACATACACTAGCTCTGCTCCAACTAGCATGCTAAAAATAGCAGAGTGACTGTGGCAGCACTAGTCACCCAAATACAATCCTGACCCTCTAGGTACATAAATGGGAGGCTAGCCTGAGTCACTGCCCATGCTGCTATGGCCACACTGCTATTTTTCGCATGGTAGCTCAAGTAGAGTTTACGTGTGTCTGTCTGCCCATTCTGGGAAGCACTCACCCAGCTGCTGTGTACTTATCCCCTGTGAGGGTTGCCTCTTCCCCAGCTGTCTAATTATCGATCAACCAGAGAACTTTAAAGGTAAAAAGAGGAGTTTCTGCAGACACTAGGCATGCATGGTATATAGCTCCTCATCACGGAGCTCTGGATGCTAGAGGTGGGCAAACCCTTCACACGTTGTTTATTTGCCACATGAACCAAACCCCTCAGAATCCGTTCATAGTGATTATTGAGGGATCAGCCTCTTGAAGGTTTGTTTGAAAGATCTCAAGAGCTGCACTACTACATCAGGACTATGGGATGACATCTGCTCCTGCCTCGCTGTAGGCTGTGGTAGAAGTATTTCCTAGCTCCTGCAGCTTTATTAGGGGGGATAGCCCTAAAGTCCCTTATGAATGGGGGGTGGGCTTTAGAAAGCATGAAAATCCCTTGGTTGTACCCTTTTTATCTTCTCTTATTTCACTCAGCTTTTGTGTGTTTTGTCGTTTTGCCTACATTTTTATTTAATGGTGGGATTTTGCTCGAAGGCCCAGTCCTTCAACACTCACTCACTTGAGTAATATTAGCACTTGAATAGTCTCATTCAGTTTCATGGTCCTGCTTGCATAAATAAGCATTGCTCATAGGCTTTCAGGATCTGGATTTCGGTTCTTCAAGCAATTTAATAAAAAATGTGAGACCTTTTGCACTTGTTGCATTTTAATACATGTTAGTGAGCTTAGCTACTTAGTACACACAGTATTGCAACATCTTAAATTTAGACCCTTTTCCAGCAGTGAGTTCCATGAAGCCAATACAGCTCCAGCTTCATAAAGCTCTGCCTTCACTAAGTTCATTGAAGGATCAGGTCTTGTGTCTATGTAGGCCTGGACTAAGCTGCTGAGCAATTGCCCTGTGGGCTGGTTCCTTCCATTGTCTGCAAGGCCAGTCTGCTGCTGTAGTTTGAAGTATATTGACAAAATATTTTCAAATGTTAAAGTTAATTTTTTGGTTTAAGTCTTGCATGATTGTCAATTTATGCAGTCTCAGGCCACTGTTAAATTTAATAGATTGGCAGGGAGATCTTTCTTACCACCTCTACCTCAGGCTATGGAAGCAGTGGAAAAGGGGTGAAAAGAAAGCTATCCCATTTATTTGTGACAGCAAGCACTGGTCAATTATGGTTTGAAGAGGGACCATTTAATGAAAAAACACAGCTGATTCTTCTCTAAAATACTATCCACTTAAGTAATTTAGGTGGAAGAGGAACATAACACAAATTTTATGTCTAATGTACATGAAAGGTAGTTGTTCTAGCCTATATTTTTCAACAGTTTTTTGATATGCTGAGGGAAGGTCACTGAAAGGAGACAAAAAATCAGGGGGGAATACAAAAGAGGAACCAGCACAAGCAAACCCATCACACATTAAATGTGAAAGTTCAAGCATTTTAAAATACTTACTTATGTGCACGAGTTAAAACTGCGCCTTGGGGAGTCCAGCACTAACTGCATGTGGGAGATAACACAAACTAACACTGACCTTGATGACATTACAGGGTAGTCTTCAAGGTTCCGTTATTCTTTAGCGGTTTCTCCAAAATACTAGACAGACATTCAGTGGGTTTTGGGGGGAAGGGAGGTTGGGGAGGAGGGTGTTTCATCACATCAACTACAGCTGTCACCTTGGTCTTAGCTTTTTTCATTTTTCTGAAACAGTTTGTAGACACTCTTTTTAGTAGCCCTTAGGGTTTCCCAGAGAAGGAACAGGAGTATGATTTCTCTCCTCCCCCCAAAAGGCCCCCAAACCTCTGGCTTTCTTTTTGCATCCCTCTTCAGCACATTAGTACCACAGAGGAACTATTTGGCTTTAGAGTGAGGATTTTCAGAGGTGTCTAAATGCAGAGGTCAATGAGAAGCCCTTAGGTACATTTGTAAGACTTGTAATGTCTTTTTGTATCTTTAGAGATTTAGTTCTTCCTTATTTTAGCGTTTCGCATACAAAAATTCAGGCTGTAAACCATAACCCTCTCTGAAATGAAATGAAAGAAATGCCCATCTATTCAGTCTACATTTTTATTTAATGCCCATCTATTCAGTCTACTCTTCCTTGAAACTTGTCTCTAGGCTGCCAAGGATAATGTCTGAAATTTGACAAACAGACAAACTTCAGATATATGGGAATTCATTCAGTATTGTTCAGTTGATGAAAGATCCCATCCCCTGAGTTGTAACAGATCATAAACAAATAAAGTCAAAATGAAATTAGGAAAATATTACAGAAATCATCTGTGTAACCTTCCTCTCTGAACCCTCTCCATAGACCACTGGAAGTTAAGGCAAGATCCTGCCCTTACTCAAGTCAAAGGGAGTTTGCTACTGACATGAATGGGAGCAGAATTGACCCATACTGTTGTCCTGGGTCTTGGTCTGTCTGGCCCACATGTGAAGTAAATATGGCACATTGGAGCAATAGTGGAGGCAGAACATTTTGGCATCAGTATGAAAGTATTAGTCTGCTTACACAGCTCGTGTTCAAGCAGTTTTTCTACCCTCTATCAAGAAACCTACCATTATACATTTCATTAGTATTATGCACTTTGCTACCGTTGTACACTTTACTGCTCTCAGAAAAGTGTGCTCAACTTGCACAAACTTTAGAAACTTTAAAAACTGCATCAGAGGGCATCCAGTACTTTTTCAGTGACAGTTCCATGTCAATATAGCTGCTGCTTTGTTGTTGAACACTAGGTAAAGGATTCATTTGGCACTGTTACCTTATTCCACCATCCCCCTCCACCTCCAGCCCAATAAATAAATAAATAAATTAAAGAAAGAAAAATAAAAGGCTGAGCCAATGTCTGAAATCCACTTTTATGATTATAGTCAAAAGACTTTGCCCATCATGCTAGCACACAGAATACAGAAAAGATACAGGCAAGTAGATCTGAATAATCAGAAAGGAGCCAATTGGTTTTCTTTTTGTCTCCTTGTACTAAAGGAGTCAGCTTTTAACATGATGCGCATTATGCATCAGAACTATGATTTGTGGTGCAAATTCTTGGATTTTTTTTCTTTTTAAATTTTTTTCCCTAATGAAATCAATACCATTTAAAGGGACTATAATTTGTTCTGGGTTGGCCATACAGATGCACCTTACTATTGTGGCACCCAATGGAAAATACAACTTTAAAAAAAATCCTTTTGTAAAGTAAATTTAGTGTTACACTGATGTTACTGGAAAATGAAGTCCCTTTTATCTTCAAAGTAATCCAGAACAAACAACACCTGCTTAGACTTCCCCATGCTGCCTGACCAATGTGCCCCAGTTTGGTTCTGCGGGGACCAACTTTGTACAATGCAGTACAGCTCCCAGTGAGTTTTATAGAATTCAATAATTCAAGATGGTGTGCAGTATATATGGTACAGCTGCAAAAAACTGAGGTATAGATACATGAGGCCAGATGTGCTCTTGTAGGTTCAGGGAGGCACAAATAGCACCTCCCTGCATCAGCCTGACCTGTACTGTTATAGGTGGATTCACCCCAGGGAGGCCAAGTGGTTATAATATTGAAGGTTTCCTTTGGCAAGGGGAGCTTTAACCTCCATTAATGTATCCAAAGAAGCTCTGTCAGTGGCAGCTGTTAAAGGGAGGCAGTTAATTAACCTCTTCTCCCAGCTGTCCAGCCAGCATTGCACACTTTCTGAGATGGGCTAGACCCCTGTAAGCCTCTCAGGACTGGGGAGGTTGTAGGTGCTTTATGCAACTCATAGCAGACTTTCCATTACTAGGAGCCTTATACAAAGATCTGTGCCTGTTTCCATAGGTGAATCGTATCTATTGTTTGGGGAACAAACCCAAGCATTTAAGCGTGAATGATGGTTCAGTTTCTGTTCCTGTTCAGTCTTTACCAGTTATGATGCTGTTTGTAGCAGAGTGGATACCTTGTTCACTGAGAACTGGAATGGATTCAAACACTTCATTACACAAAGGCTGTCATTTCATTGCGGCCATGAGTTGTTAATGGCTTTTGGTCACTAAAAACCAAATGTGAACCAGTGACCTAGAGGTAAATAACTGTCATTTACCCAGTGATGTCCATTACAGACTATCCCATTATAATTCCCTTGAGCTATGCAGTTCCTCAGGTGTGATAATCTGTGTTAGTGAGGGCTTGGAGTATTATTTGCAGAGGCTGTTAGTTGATCCCTTTCAATACAGCAAAAAGTCACCCATTATGGAAAAGTTCGCCTAACTTGAACTTTAATATCCATTACTGATTTTATTCTTAATACGATCTCTCCTCTCATAGATGCTCTTGGGCTGAACAGTAGCTGGAAAGTAATATAAGTCTTTACTTTCAGGGAATATGGAGCCATTGATGATGTAGACATTGATCTGCATATTGATGTTAGCTTTCTTGATGTAAGTAATCTAATCATATAATTATATAATGAACATTAGTACCCATTTAATTCTGTCCTATATGAGATTCTGTCAGAGATTTCCCTTCTTTGGATTCTTGATCTTTACAAGCTCCTGTCACATTATTGATTACTACTCAATTCTCAGTGGAAACATTTTGCTGTCAATCTGCAAACTCATGACTAAGATATTTTTAGCTATTTATTTGCTACTTTCATATAGAATTGCCTTGCGAATAAACAAGGAAGACAATCTACATGATCACAATGGTTCCTTCTGGTTTTGGAACATATGAATTTGTGAATTGAGGCAAAGGTACTGCCACAGGGCCTAAGATATGTGGAACCACATCATATGCTCCCAGAGGGGAGACAACCTAGGATGAGTTTCACTTTGCATAGTTTGCCACCAGTGCTCCCTTCTAGGGAAAGGTTTGAGTGGCAAAGGACATAGATAACAGTGCTGCCCAGTCTCCCCTTCTCCCTGGAAACATAGTTCTTCTTCGAATGCTGTTCCTATGGGTGCTCCACTTCAGGTGTCAGTGCGTCCTGGTGCCGTCGATCAGAGATTTATGGTAGCAGTGTCCATGCGGGTCATGCATGCCCAGTAGGTGTCTTGCAGTGCCACTGGTGTCGCATCCAACGCGCATACAGCCCGAACCCTCCAGTTCCTTCTCAACCATCCTCGGCTGAAGACACAACTCTGGGGCAGTGTTCACTCTTCCCATACCTTTAGAAATAATAGTTAGGCAGTTAGAAAGTTGTACTTAGTGTTAGTGTTAGTTTTATTACAAAATTTTTTTTTACTTCTCCCGGTTTTACCCTCCCCATAGTTTCCCGCAGCGGGGTCAGTTAACTGTTCAAGATGCTGGCTCCCCAGGTTTTCAACAATGCGGTTCCTGCCTTGTGTGTTCAATGTCTCAGTGAGGCGCATATCCCACAAAAATGCACCCACTGTAGCAACCTAAAGGCGAGAGCCCGGCGCAACTGGGATCTCCGCCTCAAAATGGAGAAATCTCTCCAACCAGAGATGGACCACCGGCCTCCTCTCCGGGCACCCCCCCTTTAGGGACAGGAGACACGCCTTCCTCTAACAGACCGAGGAAGAAGGGCACAGATGTCTCAGCAGAAAGCACTGCAGAAACATAGACAGACTTCTGCCAGGTCGCTACCTGCAATGTTGACACCTGCTCAGGTGAGCGCCTGTGACACTCTGAGCACCTCAGGCATTGCTGAGTCCCAAATGAAGGAGACTAAGTCGACGCACAGATGGAGATATGCCTTCTCCGAGGCCACAAACTTGCCTGTAAGGGACTTGATACTGAGCGTCTCCTCAGGCACCATGCCCCCGGCACTGATATTGCAGTCTGCACCAGTAGAGAAAGCCAAGTCAGCACCGACCACCCCGACTAAACCGCCATCACATCTGATAGCACCAGTGTCGGCACCAATGGTACCGACATCAGAAATGCCACTTAATCTGCTGCAACAGAGAGACTTGGCTACCTTGTTGGCACCGCAGTCCCCATGCTTGGTACCGAGGCTCTCCGGAATGTTTCAGCGGGAATCCCTACACTTCTCAGACTGCTGTACATTTGTCCAGTGAAGACGATCATGATGATGTGCCAGAACCATGCATCTTCTCACCGCACCACTCATCACTAAAAAATTGAAGACCACCCTGGACCTATATGAGGTCCAAACATCCTTATAATCAGATGAGTTAACCTTCGTACAGACCACTGTGGATGTACCCACCAATGGCCTTCCCAATGCATTTGGCACACTGGGAACCCTGGGCAGCTTACAGGGGCTGTCACTCTAGACCACCCACAGCTCACAGAGGAGAGATGAGATGCACCCCTCGTCCCCCACCCCACAGCCAATGGAGGCTCAGGACATCAGGGAGGACACTGAGATGGGCGCAGATCAGGAAGCGAATTCTCCTGCACACAACTCTTCCTCCTCACCGGACAAAGCAATTATGCCTCCACAGCCTACCTCGGCGGATGACTTCAAACAGTTCCAGGAGCTGTTTAAGCAAGTCGCCCAGAGCCATGACATCCCGTTGGAGGAAGTTCAGACGAACCAGCACAAACTGGTACAAATTCTGCAACCTTCCTCTACTTGCAGGATTGCTCTACCCATTAATGATGCAATTCTGAAACCGGCAGAGACAGTCTGACAGACACCAGCCTCAATAACGCCGACATGCAAAAGGGCAGATAGGAAGTATTATGTCCCCACCAAAGGGGTAGACTTCCTCTTCTCCCACCCGCCTCCCAGCTCCTTGGTGGTCGATGCCGCTAATCAACACAGCAAACAACAGTTTAGATCAACCCCTCAAGATAAGGAACACCAGAAGTGCTCAACCTCTTTGGACAAAAAGTTTACTCCTCAGTGACCTTACAGTTGAGAGTCACCAATTATTCTGCTCTGTTAGCAAAATATGATTATGATAACTATAGGATATTGAGCTCTTTCACTGAGGAGCTTCTAGATGAGAAGCAAGCACAATTCAAGCACTATGCAAACCGTGAATAATGATCTTCCCCTACCTGGACAATTTCCTTTTCAAAGGTCCAACTCAACAAAAAGCACCGGACGCTGTCCAGAGGACGATCACACATCTGTTCAGGGATCTAGGGCTACAGATAAGTAAACGAAAATCCACTCTAGTCCTTCTCCAGCAACTGGACTTCATTAGGGCACATCTCAGTGCTGTAGAAGCCAAGACATTCCTGCCCCTGAACAGATCCACAACTCCGACAAACCTTATCACAGAGGTAAGAGTCAAACACCAAACACCAGCTCGTACTGTCCTACAGCTGCTAGGACACAAGGCAGCCTCAACATTCATGGTACAACATACAAGACTACATATGTGCTGCCTTCAGGGCTGGTTGAGCTCGGTTTACATACCCAGGAAGCACAGCCTGCACAAACGACTTACAGTACCACCCTGTGTCCTGGACTCTCTACACTGGTGGACAAGACCAGAAAATGTATGTGTGGGCATCCCATTCCAACAGGAACCCCCATCAGTAGTAATCACGACAGACATTTCGCTGATAGTCCGGGGGGCCCACATGCATCAGCATATGGTTCAAGAAAAACTGTCTCTTGCGGAGACTCAGCTACACATCAGTCTACTAGAGCTATGTGCAGTCCGCAATGTCGGCAGACACTTCCTACCTCACATAAAGAACAAATCAATTTGTATAATGACCAACAACATTGCCTGCATGTTTTACATCAGTCTGCAAGGAGACACTCAATCTCACTCACTGTGCACCGAAACCATGAAAGTGTGGAACTGGTGCATACACCACAACATAAACATTTCAGCCTCCTACCTTCTCGGCTGTCAAAACACAATGGCGAACACGCTAAGTAGGTATTTATCTCAAGACCACAAATGGGAATTGAATGAGGGAGTCCTGCTATCCATATTCTGCTGGTGGGGCACTCCACTCATTGACCTGCTCACATCCCCGACAAATCACAAATTCATAATTTTCTGCTCGAGAGCGGGAATGGAACCACGATCACTGGGGGACACCTTCCTCGTCACATGAGATGCACAATTCATGTAAGCATTCCCACCAGTTCCCATGATATCACACATGATACGCAAGATATGCCTAGACAAGGCCAGGGTCATCCTCATAGTTCCAACATAGCCCAGGCAAGCCTGGTACCCTTACCAGATGCATATGGCGATATGCGCCCCTCGAGCTCTCCCTCCCCATCCAGACCTGCTGTCTCAGAACAACTGTCACGCTCTTCACCCCAATCTGCAGAAACTCCACCTTCAAGCATGGCTTCTGCATGGTTCCACTATGGCGAACTTGCCTGCTCGGAACAAGTCAAACACGTATTACTAAACAGCAGGAAAGTGACCACATGTAATACTTACCTTCAAAAATGGAAGAAATTATCCTCCTGGTGTCAAGAAAAACACGTGACAGCCTCCACAACACCGCTACCATTAGTGCTGGAATACCTACAGGAGCTGAAATGCTCGGATTTAGCAGTGAGCTCGATCAAAGTCCACCTCGTGACCAGAACAGCATTCCATCATGAGATTGATGGGACATCGATCTTTGTGCACCCCATTACTAAACACTTCCTCGTGGGTCTCCAGAACATTTACCCAGAGGTTTGTCAACCTATTCCAGCCTGGGACCTCAATGTGGTATTGAAATGCCTCACCAGAATGCCATTTGAATCCCTAGCCACCTGCTCCCTACTACATTTATCCATGAAAGTGGCCTTTTTGGTCACTATTACTTCCACCAGATGGGTCAATGGGATAGGGGCTCTCATGGCCGATCCTCCCTACATAATATTCTTCAAAGACAAGGTCACTCTGTGCCTGCATCTAACATTTCTACCGAAGGTAACATCATCCTTTCATATGAACCTACCAGTCCATCTTCCTACATTCGATCCTAAGGCTCACAAGACTCCAACAGAGTCCATCTTGCATACATTGGACTTCAGGCAGGTGTTAGCATTTTACCTGGAAAGGACCAAACCTTTCCGGAAATCTAGACTTTTTGTTCCTACTACTGAGTGTTCAAAAGGCTGCACGATATCCACTCAGAGATTGTCTAAATGGATCTCCACATGCATTCAACATTGCTATCATATTCAAAACTTGGACCCTCCTACACACATCACAGTGCATTCCACATGATTCTTTATAGCATTCCTAAACAATGCTCTGATATTAGAGATTTGCAGGGCGGCCACTTGGGCCTCTGTCCACACATTTACTGAGCACTATGCTATCACTCAAGACTCTAGGGCTGACGCCATAGTTGGCTCTAACCAACTGTGGCTCTAACCACAGTTACCTCTGTGACTCAAATGAACCCGAAGTCCCTCCTGCCTTCTGAGGGGCACTTCTCTACAGTCACCTGAAGTGGAGCACCCACAGGGGCAGCACTCGAAGAAGAAGAGAAGATTACTCACCTTGTGCAGTAACTGAGGTTTTTCAAGATATGTGTCCCTGTGGGTGCTCCACTACCCACCCTCCTCCCCTCTACTTCGGAGTTCACCATTTGGACTCTGCTGTAGAGAAGGAACTGAAGGGCTCAGGTGGTGCACGTGCTAGACATGGCACCAGCAACACCGCAGAATGCCTGTTGTGCATGCTTGACCCGCGTGGATACTTCTACCATATATCTCCCATTGATTGTTCTGGGACACACCAACACCTGAAGTGGTGTACCCTCCCAGACACACATCTCGAAGAACCGCAGTTACTGCACAAGTTGAGTAACCTTCTCTTTCTCGTGCCATTATTTTCTCATTTTGCCATCACATCTGTGCAGTAACCTCCCTTTACAAGGGTGGAAGTTAATGATTCTAGGAACAGCATCTGTACTGATATAATTTCCCCAGGTAAATGTGGTACACAGGATGGTTCTGTCTGCCCCTGAAACCTCATGAATACCTGACTCTCCTGTGATGGGATATCTTTAGTCTCAAGGGAAGGGGCAAAATGCCATCTGGTTTCTTCTAGCCCTCTACTGTGGGACCAGTTGTATTTCCTACCCTGTTCACTCCTTTTGCTCTCCCCTTGAGCCAGTATCTCCTAGTGGATGGAGCATAGCCGAGGAGTGGGCAAACAGATGAAAATAATAGCTTAGATGACTACATTCCATTGAATATTTCACCAGCATAAGGGTTGACTGACAAAACATAAACAGTTCCTGAGGATGGCTAATGATTTTTGTTGTTTTTCTTTTTCTCTGGAATCAGGAAGAGATTGCTGTGGCTTGGGATGTAATCCGCACAGAACCTATAATAGTGCGATTGCACTGTTCACTTACACAGTACTTAAATGGTCCAGGTTAGTCACATTTGCATTTTTCCTGTGCCATGTACGATGTTGTAGTTGTGAGCCATGTAGAGAGTAGCAGATATACATGTTCATTGCTAAAGCCCCAATTCTGAAAATATATCTGCACATGTTTAACTTCACTATCATGAGTGGTCCCATTGACTTCAAGTTAAGCCCCTGCGTAAGCGTTTGCACAATCAATAGTAAGGGTATGTCTACACTGCCCTGCAGTTTGGACTAAAAGGGTGTTGACAGCAGTACACACCAAAGTGCTGCGCTATAACTCCCCTATGTGGATACTGCGAATGTGAATGTAAAAAGTCTTGGGTTTGCACCTCTTCAAAGAGGACTACATTAGTGCAGACTCGGACCTGCATATTTGTGCCCATAGCATCCACACGAAGGAGTTACAGTACAACACTTTTATGTGAACTGCTATTCACACCCACTTAGGTTTCCAATCCTGCCTCTCAGTTCAGATCTATGTGAGAGAATTCTGCCACTGAACGATGAAGATATTTTTTCAGTCATGATTTGTCTGGGAAAAATACCCTCGTAATCCATTTCTTAGGGAGTCCATTGTCTGCAGCTGCTCTTTGCAAGCTGTGTTCTGTTCATTATATCAGTATCTTATTTGTGTTTGGCTTAGTGTCTTGTTTCACTACATCTTACTATTTTAATATATTTTTTTATAAACGTTCAGGTGTTTATTTATTGCAAATAGCTATTGTAACTTTATGTTAACATTTATTATTGTTAGCCAACTCCAATATGAAATCAAAATTCTAATACACTCAGCAACAGAGAGTAAACTTTGCAAATCCTTATCCAGCTGGATATGTTCTAGCAAGACCATAAGCGACAATAAAACTTCTGCACTTTTGGCAAGGCTAAAACAGGACTTATAGACCCCATCCTGCAGCTAACTTTGTGCAGAAGTTCCCTTGAGCCTCATGCAGTCAATTGCAGGATCAAGGCAAGAGACAGGTGCTTTGCCGTTATTGATCTTATGAGTCTGGTGCAGTTGCTGTTTCTGCCAGTGATTTTCAGTAAAAAAGAACAATGAGATCAATCTCACATATTAATATATGAGGGAACTCTCTCTCTCTCTTCAACCTTTCCCCATGAAACACTGTTCTGAGTAATAACTTGTTATTACCTTATGATATGTATATCTTTCCTTTTGTGTCTGCCATTCACTGATGGAAGAAACAGATGTACCATATGCTCAAAGAGAGGCAAAATATGTCTGGCTGCTGTTTCACATGTGTTATACAGAATACAAGTGTTTTGAAACTTCTGTTCTTATTTAGTACCTAGCCAGATTATTACCAATGTGTTCTTTTCCATTTTTTATGAGTAGCATGGAATTTTTTATATTGATAAGATACCTTTAGGTTCCTGTTTAGGGACTAGATGGAAAAAATGAATATATGTATATGTGCAAGGTAGCCCAACACATGCCATTAAAAGATCCTGTTTTCACTTGCATATAATTTGCCAACTTTAACTGTTTAAGGTGAATATATATATATATATATATATATATTATATATATATTTAAATATTAAAATGCAAAACAAAACCCATTCAGTAGAGTATAGTTTATGGACAGAAATAGATATTTGTCAAGAATTTATTTATCTGTACTATGATCCGTACTAGAAACAATATTAGGAATGGAAGCAATGGCTTTTCCTTACTAAATGATATCACTGGTCTATCAGGCATAGGTGCTGGAATTAGGGGTGCTGGGGGTGCTGCTGCACAGCACCCTCACTATACAAATTTTTCCAGCTCCACTGCCATCAGGTCTGGTATCCTGCTTCTGGCAGTGTCCATTACCTGATGTTTAAAAGGAAGTGAAATGCACCATGGCAATTCTGAAATGCAGCACATCCCATGCTAATTGTGTGGAAAGGGGCTCCTAAACCCTTCAGGCAATCATCTTATGCTCTGAAATATGAGATTTAGTTACACTTTAGAATTTATAAATCTAAATACATTGTTACTGCTAATCACATTATCCATCTCTTTTGAAAATCCAACCACAGTTTGTCTCAGAAAGATTAAACAGCATTTAAATAATAGCACTGCACAAAAGGATAAAATAATCAACTGATGTTTCTTTGAAAGAAAGGATATTTGAGGGAGACGGAAGATATGTTTTGAATTATTTGCAAATGAAACAATCATTCTAAAGAGCACCTGGCAAACAGTGGCATTTCAGATTAGAACTGGTATTTTTATTGCCTTTTTTTAAAAAAAAATAATGATCAGAATAACATATGCTTAAAAATCATGATTTCTTTCTGATAAAAGTTAACTTCAAATATTGAGCCAAATCTTTAGGATCTCTTTTTTTCAGTGTAATCATTATAGTTCTTTTCTTTTCTTTTAATAATGAAATGCACTTGTTTTGACCACATCAATGCTTGTAATATATGCTGGTTATTATCCTGCCTCAAAGAATTGAGATTTTTTCAGTAAGTGCTTGGTGCCATCTGCCACTTCAATCTATTAAATGTTACAAAAGGATTTTGGTAATGCTAGAAGTGGAAGCTTGTTTCCAGCCTCCATGTCTTATGTTTTCAATTATCTGAGCCAGTAAATATGGGCGTGCTGATGGTGGGAATGGTATGAGATCTGTACCCTATCGCATGAATGGCGATGTCTGAGCTTCCTTGATGAAAGTTCATTGGCTATTGGGATTCATACATGATGCAGTCAGATGATAAGCACTATGGATCTTTTACTGAAATGCCTTCAAAAAAGAAACCCTACAGATAAAATAAATTGGTAGGTTTTCTTTACATTCTAAGAAATAGAGACAGGGAACAGAAAAATGCCTGAGTAGAGTTTGACTGTCTCTGCATGCTGACAGAATGGGCTAATTCTACTGTCCTGTAATGGTTCAGGGAAACTTGAATAAATTAAATTTTCATACAGAAAAGGTTTTTTCTTCCAAGCAGAATTACCTTCTGCAACAAAAATATTCCAGTTTTCCTGCACTTTTAAAAAGGTCTGGAATGAGCATTGGGTAGGAAGGCCTCTCAGAGAGGAAACACTTTGCTCCAGAAAATATGGTGTAATGCTGATGAGATACTAAAGGACCTAAGGCAAGTCCTCTTTCGGGAAGAACCTAATTCTACCCTCAGTCAGCCTGTTGTGAAAACAGGGGAACACTGTTGATTTCAGTGAGGTCACTTTGCATTTACACGGTGTAATTGAGGGCAGAATTTGGTCCAAAGTCCCAAAGGGCTTTTAAAGAATAGTGAACAGTAAATAAAGAAAGCCAAGTAATGGAACCTCTACTTCCGCACCAAAAAGAGATTAAATGAGTAAGTAAATCAGTAAGTCTTTTGAAGGTGAGGGAAGGTAATGCTCCCTGCAAAAAGAGATGTAAAAGACTAGGACAGTTCACTTGGAAATGAGATGGCCATGGCTGGAGTTGGGTTGCTGAACAGGGTGGGCCGATACTCTGAAGTGGTACTCAGGTTCTTGGCTGGCTGGTTCTTGCTCATGTGTTCAGGTTCCAAACTGGCTCAGACAACAGTACTGCCCTCACCATTGTTTCCATGGTGTTTCCCAAGTATAAATTAGCACAGAATACGGCCTGTAAATATCAAACCACTAATAGAATAAGTAGGTCTCTGTGATACCCTGTTCTAGCATGGCAATTCCAATTTACACATATCACCAATATCACATTTTCTGCAGTACCTACCGTGGATGTATTTCAGATCTCTACTAAGGAAAGATTTGGGTTGGGACATCAGCTGAAAAAGTAAGTTCTGGAAGAAATTTGATACGATCTTGCTTAATGTATTGTTGTTATAATCATCTTATGTTAGCTCTTGTGTTGGGTCAAGAAACATTTAACAGATGAGTTGTAGTTCTCTTTGGACCAAATGGCTCCTGACTGCTTTTTCAGTTAAAAAGTTCACCCCTCACCTTTTCAAATTGTTTTGACAGTGGTGAAAAATAACAGGTAGACCCTGTAAATGTTTCCCTTTCCCTTTACTGGAGTTTTATAAACTGTACTGTCTAAAGTGTGTGAAATTAAAGAGGATGCAGCTAAGAATCACAGAATCGTAGGACTGGAAAGGATCTCAGGAGGTCATCTAGTGCAGTAATAACTAACTGTTATTAGTTAAAATTCTGACGATGCATCTTTTTGCAAATTCTCATTATTGAGATTAATTAATAATATGAATAATTGCTATTAATAAAATGACAAGAATGTAAGTTTAAGGGTACGTCAACACAGCAAAAACAACTCTGCAGGCTCATAGCCTGGGTCAACTGACTTAGCTCGTGGGGCTTGCACTGCAGGGCTAAAAATAGCAGCATAGACGTTCAGGCTCAGGATGGAGCCCTGGGCTGTGAGGCTCCCCTCCCTCCCCCTGCCAGGTTTCAGAGCCTAGGGCTCTGACTCCCAACAGCTACACAGTTATTTTTAGCCCTGAAGCACAAGCACAAGTCAGTTGACCTGGTCTCTAAGAGTCGCTGCTGTGGGGATTTTTTTTGCTGTGTAGATGTATCCTAAACATCTACACCTTAAAAAAAAAAAAAAAAAAAAAAAAGGCAGTTTGCTTCCATAAAGAAATCTTTCGCTGGTAGGTTTAAAGAACCAATCAGAAATAATCAGCACAGTGTTTTAATAACCTTGCAGATTAATTAACATTATTAAAAATCTGTGCAGTAATTTGCAATTGAGAAAAAAGTAATCAGTTCCTAATACTACATTTCATTCCTTATAGTACCGATGAGTTGTACATTAGATAGCCTTTACAAGAGGCATACACAATGCATTTTTGTGTAATACATTTTGTCAAGCAGAGGGGGGAGACCTGTGATTGTACATCTACATAACTATGCAGTTAAGTCAAAAATTTTGAATAGCCACAGGTCTCATGGTCCCTCATCACGTTTGAGGGCAAGAAGATCTTCATCTTTTGAAAATCAATGAAATAGCCAGTTAAGCCAACACTACCATCTACTTTAACAGTACCACCCATACATCTCAAATCTAAACGCTCTCACAGTTTCTGCATCTCTATGACAAAGATACTTTTACGTCTTTCATCTTTGATATGTGTGTGATGTATACTTATATAGCTTTTATCAATAACATTGTCATTTTTTAAAGAGCCAAGTACTGGCCTCAATCCACCCATGTGACTCTCAAGTTCTTCATTTAGAATGAGGCCACTACATGGCTTTAAATGATGAAGGTACAGTTGTTGGCTTTACAATTACTGTGACTTGGCTATGATTGTCTTTTCCTCCTTTACAGAATAATGCAGACGTTTGTTACACAGCAATGGAAAAATAGCAAAGAAAAATCAAATTGTACGCACAATAAGAAAGTGTCTGAGAAAAAGGTGAAATCCCCTCTGCACATCTTTTCTACATTGCGCAGGTAATACTAAGCAAAATGCTTTTATTATCATATGCTGTTCAAATTCCACAGCATACTTAACAAGATTTAGCAGTTTAGCAGAAATGTTGACTTTTCTCCAAAGAGAAGTATTCTGTTTATACCTTACCTCTTGGGTCTTGTGCCCTCACCTTGTATGATTTCAAGAACTAACTAGGAACTTCAGCTGTTGTCAAGATTATTCCAGGGGGGAGCGTTTTCATGTCCTACACTCTAAAAGACCCTGACTCATCTAGTACAGGAAATCACTCATTTTATACTGTTAAACTTGGCTGTGTGTGCTATTATTAGTTTAGTAGGCAGACTGTTATTTTATTAACCATAGTTAAGGCTAAAATTTTGTCATGGTTATCTTTAGTAAAAGTCACGGACATGTCACAGGCAATAAACAACAAAAATTCAGGGAAGGCGTGACCTGTCTGTGACTTTTGCTGCTGCAGCTCCATGGTTTCTGGTGGCGGAGAGCTGTGAGCTGCAGGGTGAGCATATTTGCCAAAGAGAAAATGGGACATCCCAGCCACTCGCCCGAGTTGTTACCCCTCTCCACACACACACATTGCTGGAACCCTGTGGAGGACCCCCTCAGGAGTCTGTCACTTGTCACTGGAACTTTGCAGGGGGCCCTGTGCCGCTGTTGTTGCCTGTCGCTGGAACCGTCTCAGGGCCCGCAGGCTGAGTCCGGCAGTCCCTGGGGCTGAAGCAGAGAATGTCAGGGAGGTCTCTAGAAGTCGGATTCCATGACCTCTGTCAGGGTTCCTTCCCCACTCTGAACTCTAGGGTACAGATGTGGGGACCCGCATGAAAGACCCCCTAAGCTGATTCTTACCAGCTTCAGTTAAAAACATCCCCAAACTTTGCCTTGGCCTTGAACAGTATGCTGCCACCACCAAGCATTTTAAACAAAGAACAGGGAAAGAGACCACTTGGAGACGTCTTTCCCCAAAATATCCCCCCAAGCCCTATACCCCCTTTCCTGGGGAAGGCTTGATAATAATCCTCACCAATTTGTACAGGTGAACACAGACCCAAACCCTTGGATCTTAAGAAAAATGAAAAATCAATCAGGTTCTTAAAAGAAGAATTTTAATTAAAGAAGAGGTAAAAAGAATCACCTCTGTAAAATCAGGATGGAAAATACTTTACAGGGTATTCAGATTCAAAACACAGAGGCTCTTCCTCTCAGCAAAATCTTAAAGTTACAGAAAACAGGAATAAACCTCCCTCTTAACACAGGGAAAATTCACATAAAACAAAAGATAAACTAATCCGCCTTGCCTGGCTTACCTATACTGGTTGCAATATTGGAGACTTGGGTTAGGATGGGTTGGAGAAGATGGATTTCAATCTGGCCTCTCTCAATCCCAAAAGAGAACAAACACGTAAGCAAAGAGCACAAACAAAAACCTTTTCCCCTCTTCCGTCCCCCCCCCCCCCATCAAGATTTGAAAGTATCTTGTTCCCTTATTGGTCCTTTGGGTCGGGTGCCAGCCAGGTTAGCTGAGCTTCTTAACCCTTTACAGGTAACAGGATGTTGCCTCTGGCCAGGAGGGATTTTATAGCACTGTATACAGAAAAGTGGTTACTCTTCCCTTTATATTTATGACAACCTCCATGACATAAACGTAGCCTTAGCCATAGTATCCTGCTAGTTTTATTGTGTCCAAGTTTCCTTTTCATAATTGTATTTTTCTTCACTTTCAGAAAAAATGTGTATGATATTTCAAGGGGTAAGGGGCCTGATTTTCAGAGGTGCTGAGCAGTGACTTTATTTGGAGGCATGCATGCTCAGCACCTCTGAAAATCAGTCACCAGGACTTGAAAGGCCCAATCCTGGAAGTACGTATACACATGAATAACTTTCCTCATGTGAATAGTCCTTTTGAATCCCATGGAGTTCATACTACCATGAGTAAAGTTATTCATGCGCTTAAGTGCCTTTGTGTCTTTCAGGGGTGTAGTTCACCTGATGTAGCACTTTTTTCTAATTTTGAGGGATTGGCTGATCACCCCCTCTTTGGCTTTGGGTGATCGTTTGAGCATCTCTGTTGCTTGATGAATTTCTTGTATTCTAAGTTTCACATGTAACAGTGAGTGGTACAACAGAAACAGACTGGCGATGGGTTGGATACTGTATCCATACAGAGGTGTCAAGGGGTATTTATATTGACAGGAAATAAAAGAGGAAGATGGAATTGTGAGCCAGAGGCTTTCGCACTTTGTACCAAACATTCACACAGGTTGTAGCATGTCAAAACACACACACACACACTCTTCCTGGGGTTTGGTTTTATTCACAAAGTGAATACAAAAGCCAACCCAATCTTTCTCCCCTAGACTCAGCTGCAACTAAAATTCCTCTCCAAAGACTGTTTAGCCCGTATGCTAAGCATCCTTTCTATGTTAGAGTACCACTCCCATCTCCCTTATATCCATGTATGGTAATGAATCATTTACATCATATGAATCATGAATCATTTTCAGCATATTTCACTGAACATTTTCCAGCAGGATCACCATTTGCTAACAGTATGGATAAACACTGCCAGCCTGTTAAAGGGATGTTTTCCCTTGGGATTTTATTTCTCTGCTTTTTGAGCAAACCAAAAAAGTTTCACTTTGGTATGAGGATGGAAAAATGATTCAGGAAGATTTAATTTTGCCTGATACCAGCTCTCTTAGTACTAGGCAAACAAATTTTAAATATTAGAAAAAACGATCCAGTTCATATGAATGTTGCTTCATTTGTGTGTTGATTCTTTGTTTTCTTGATACGCATATTAGGCCTGATTACTCTCTTACATTACGCTGCTGCCAATCAGGAGTACACCGAAGTAAAACCACTTGAAGTGAGAAGAGAATCAAGCCAAATTGTCTTCTACAAAATAATCAGATTATTTGGGGGGAGGAGGTTTGTTTTTTTTGTTTTGTTTTGTTTTGTTTTTTTAAGAATTGTTTCAGTTGAGATAAATATGAGTGACTGGATACAAGCTTCTGCAGCAGTTAAAATACTAAGAGCCCATTATGACCTGCAATTGATCTGCATGCAGAACTCCTCTGGCTTGTGGTGTCTAGAAATTAGCATGGCTTGAAAGAACCATGCCAAAACAATTGTGCAAGAAAAGTAGATTTACCCTTTTGATTGAAGAAGTCCATTGCTCTATGTGAAAAATATGGCCATGATTCTCAAAAATAGGTGCCTAAGTAAATGGCCTGATTATGAATTTAGGAGCCTAAATTTAGGCACCTATTTTTTTTTTAAATCATGGCCTATGCCTATAGCTAGTCAGATACACAGATATACATGCTACTTATTATATACTTTTAGGAATTAAATCTGTATACAAATTTGCATAATCCATAAATGTCAGTCTTTCTTCTGCTTTAAACAGATATTTTAAAAAAATACCTTGTTTATATGTGTGTTTATATGTAAAGTTGCTTGTTTATTGTTTCATGGAGTTTTTTATTGTTCCTGTACTAGGTTTTCCCCTTATTTATTTTTAAGGTCGCCAAGTTATCCTCCACCTGGCTGTGGTAAAAACAAATCAAAACTGAAATCTGAACAAGATGGCATCTCCAAAACTCACAAGCTGCTGCGAAGGACTTGTTCTAGCACAGTTAAGGCTGAGGATGTGTGTGCCACAAAGTCTCACAGAACTTTTGGCCATTCATTGTCTAGTGATCCCAGGGCTGAGCAGACAATGGCTATTAAATCACACAAACTGTTGAATCGTTCTTGCGCTGCAACTGTCAAGCAAGAAGAATGCATCACTCTAAAGCCCCAAAAACTCCTAAGCAGATCGTGTTCTGGGGATCCTCGATGTGAGCACAATAGCACCTTGAAGCCTCACAAACTGTTAAGCAGGTCTTATTCCAGTAATCTTAGAATGGAAGAATTAGATGGACTGAAGAATCACAAGTTACTCAGCAAGTCTTACTCCAGTGCTCCTAAGTCATCCAAAATGGAGTTTTTCAAGGAACCCACCATAGCAGAGGGCAGGAGGCTCTCTCTTACCTCAGGGCTTATTGGTATCTTAACACCATCTTCCTCATCACCTTCACAAGCTGCTGTGCGTAATAATCATTATTCTTTCTGTTTGTATGTTTTTCCTCTCGTTTGTTTTTTAAAATGGATTAATATCCAGGGCATACGTAAATGCATACATCAAGAAGAATTTAACATTAAATAAAACACATTGGAAATTACCTTTTTGGCCAGTATTGAACAGTTGCCTGCACACATACACATCTGTCATACTGACTGGGACCACAGAGGCTAAGACTGAGCTTTTATGTCTCCCCCTGAGTAAGGGGCAGCATGCTGCTGCTGTGCCATAGGAGCAGCACAGTCTCATAGTTCCTTCCCTGGTTCCTCTCTTGCTCCATGGGGGAAATAATCTGCTGATGGCCCCATCCGGTAGTAAGTTCTTTCTCCTTTCATGCTGGTCAGCACATTGAAGGGAGTGTAGTTGAAGCTGTACCCACTCCTTGTAGGCACTGGTGTAGGTGAAGAGTAATATTCAATGGGTGTATGCTTGCTCCATAGCCTGTGCACAGACTGGTGATATGGGTAGGTTGAGCAGGGGATTGAAGCCCATTTTTCCCCCTTGCAGCCACCTGGGGCAAGTCCCATACATGCCCATACATCCAACCCAAAGGGTTAACATGTATTTTACTAAACATAGAAAACACACTTCAATGTTAGTTCTGTCTGTAACTGATCACTACAAATAGGAAGGATGTTTACTGTAAGCGTAAGTAAGAGCCAGTTTGCTTTCCTGTTTCAAGACATTGGGAGGTGGTGCTTGTTGTCTTACATGTTAGATGTGGGGAGCTGGAGTCAGGAGACCTGGGTTCTAGTCACAGCTTTACCATTGATAAGTATGGTACCTCAGTTTCACCTCCTCGACAGAATTCTGAGATCCTTGGTCGAATGGTGTTATGTAAGTCTAAAATATTATTAAATATTTTAACTGTAATGAAATTACATTAATAGTGTTTCAGCCTACTCATGGTAAATTAGCCTAATAAGTCAACTATGAGCAACTTTCGCTGTATCTAAAGGCAATAATATAGTGTGACTTATAAAGCTGCTATGTACATGTTACTTGGTTGTTTCCGTAACTTGTACAACCAAAATTAATGAAAGGTGAACTAAAAAGCTTTACGTGCTATCACCTATGTTTGGGATTCATTTTTCACTCTGAACTGTCTCTGCTTTAGGGGCCTGAATAAACTCACACTTAAAGTCAATAGAAATAATCCCACTGACTTTGGTGAAATCAAAACTACTAATAAATATAATATTATTGTCATAATACATGAATATTCAGGGAAATCAGCCTGTATTCAGCCAGGTGCAACTCCATTGACTTTAGTGGAATGGCAATCAGGACTTAATTTGGCACTTTACTTGTTAAAATCCTAGTTCCTTTCCACTGCCTTGCCAAGATACTTGGAGTGCTGTGCAGGAAAAGAAGCAGCAGGGGAAGGAAAAGAAAAGTTCCACAAAGCAGCTTGGTCCATCTCCCACTGAAGTAAAAAAGATGGTCTGAGACAAATGTCAGGGGGGAGGGAGTTCCACATCTTAGTGGCCACCATAGCAAAGATACCTTCCAAACTAACACTTTGAAATAAAGTGTCAGAAAGAAGGACTAAGCATAGGTACTTGTTACAATGAGGCTCAAGGAAGAGGTTTCATGAAAAGTATTGTGGAAAGAGATTTTCTATTTTTTTGTTTTAAAGGGCATGTTAGTAATTCAAGTCTAAACACATAATCCATATTATATATGTATAGAGAAGCAGGATACACACAAAAAATAAATAATGCTATTCATCTTTAAAATAATTGCTTAGATGTTTGTACATTGACATGGAGTCAAAGTACCAGTGCTTCTTTTGTGTATTAGAGTTTTTAGGGTGTTTACAGATAAAGCAAAAACTCCCTAGGCAAGAGGTAAAGAGACAGATGAATTTATTTTGGCTGATCTATGCAAACTAGAGATATTTCCAGATGCCAATATTGTTTAATTCTCAGACCTTCATAGAAAAAAATAGAAATGTTCTTACCATTTCCACAAGAAACCTGCACCATCTCTTCTAATTAGCTCTAGCACTGAAGTTGCTTGACCTTTTTTCTTACAGCCGAATTATGGTGCAAAATGCATTCCAATACGAGACAATGGCTTTCTTGTGCAGGTAGGATGTCATGCTTAATCCGTTTTAGAAACACTTTGGAGCAGGAGCTGTCTGTTAATTATTTTTAAGCAGATGTTATTGTTCTCACTTCCATTGTTCTCAGACTATTGAGTTTGCTGAGCAGCGGATACCAGTGCTGAATGAATACTGCGTAGTTTGTGACGAACCACATGTGTTTCAGAATGGCCCCATGCTGAGGGTAAGTTGAATGTGGCTGAGTTATGTGATGCATATTTTTTATGTCTTAAATAGCCATAGACAACAAAAACCTGTTAGAATATTCTCAAGTTATTCTGGTTGCACTGCATCATAATATTCTATTTGGATAAGATTTTTTTTTTAATGCACATTAGGCGGAACAAGCTGTCTCAAGCCAAACGCATGCGGATAACGTGTGTTCATGGGAAAGTTAATTACTGCCCAGCCATTCCTGAACAAATTGAAGTTCAGGAAAACACAAGGGAAACAGCAGAAGTGGTCCCTAAACTCGCATACCTGCTGCTCATAGGACAAGACTTCCTAGGGTTTGTAAACCTACTTCTGGTAGAGGGGTCAGAAGAAGGTTCCCCAGGCTTCCTCCAGGTTTTCCCCCTTTAAATTGCTATATGGCCCAAATTAACCACTGAACAACGTATACAGTTCATCAAAATGATTGAACAGCACCATGATATGTTCTAGGAAGACCCGTACAAATCCATCACCACATCATCACAGATCCAGGAGTAAAGGTGAAGGTTAAACCATATCGGATCCCGGAGGCTAAAAGAGAAGAGATCAGTATTGAAGTTAAGGGGATGCTGGAGCTGGGAGTCATTGAGTAGTCCCAGAGTCAATGGTCCAGCTCAATCACTCTGGTACCTAAACCAGATAGTACAATGAGATTCTGCAGTAACTTCTGAAAAATTAAATGAGGTGTCCCAGTTTTATGCCTCCTCCATACCTTGTATTTTCAGTATTTCCCAGATATCCCTCTAAAAAGTACAGTAGAACCCCTATTTTATGAACTAATTTGGAACTGAGGAGTTCCTAAAATCAAAAAGTTCATAAAATTGCACACCTCAATTACAGTGGGTATAGTGAAGTTTATGGTGCATTCCATTGCTTTCTTCTTGTCCTTCAAACCACTGCACAGTGATTTCCAGTGCCCCAAAGGTATCGGTACATGAAGTGATAAAGACTTGTTTCAACATCACTTTCATTATGTGATTTTGTTCCAATCCCTGACCCCTGCCATTGGGAAAAATGGTTCATATAAATGGTCATTTTTCAGACTGATGTTCATAAAATCAAGGTTCTTCTCTATGGGGAATTTTCAATGGTTTCATAGATTTTATGTCCGGAAGGGACCATTAGATGTCTAGTCTGACCTCCTGTAAAACAGAGAACATAGAATTTCATTCAGTTACTCCTCCATTAAGCCCCTTAACTTGGGATGAATCCGAGACAAGAAATCCTGCATAAAAGGGTAACAGTTAAGAGACTGCCTTGTGAAAATCAGCTTTGGGATTACTTTACTTGCGGAGCACTTTTTTGCCTGGATAAAAAATCTCAAGAGAGTCTGACTACACCTTGCTGAAGAGTTCTGTTGTGTTGCAGTACAGCTGGTCCCCCTTAAACACTGAGTTCTGGAGTAAACCCATGCTCAGTGTTGAGAACATGAGGTATAGGTTGGGGTGGCTCTGTGCTGGGAATAGACAGTGAAAGTAATCACTGTAAATGTGCTGAGAGTTCTTTGGTTTGAGCTGAATTTCTAAGGTGAAATTCTGTGTGTGAAGCTTTGCCTTTTGCCTCCTCTGTTGAAGGTAAGCAGGAGCTGTGGATATTTAGTTGTATTTGCGCCTATGGGGGGGAGCTCCATCCCAGGAGGTAGGGTGTTAGGTTCTGTACCAACACTTACTAAAGTACAGTTTGTGATCCAAAGTTTATTCACCACCTAGCCATTGTGAATTTAAAAAAAAATACGAAGAAATATCTTGAGTCTGGTCAACTTATTTTTCTTGCAATGAGTAATGGACTCAAAAGTCCTGACTTAGAATTGGCTGACTTGGAGAAGTCAGGACAATAAGCATAGGAAATACAAGAATTCTGAGGTAACTATCTGTTTATCTTAGGCAAGATCGGATTAATTTAAAGTGCAGTCGATGTACATTAATTAGATTGACATAATGGCAAACTTAAACACCATAAACCAGTGCAGAAACTCAGTCCTGCTCAGTCACTGTTTCAAGTCTTGGTAAATAGTTACGCCTTGAATCATGCTTTGGACAGCAAACTTGAGCTCTGTCAGATCATGCACAAAGCAATTCCTGAATTAAGGGCTCTCCAGAAGAGAACACCCTACCCCAAATGATCATGACAATGAATTTTTAGACTGTGAAGCCAAGAACTGTGTAAAATTTCCCCACTTTCAAATTTTCAATGACATTATTAATCAAAAAAATAATTTTTGATCAGAAAAAAAGTCTGGAAAAGCTGGTCAAAATTTTTCAACAATTGAAAAATGTCAGTGAAATGTCAGCACTTTGACATTTTTGGAAATATTTCAAAAAACCAACATTTTTTATTGGTTTTTCAACTTGCTCTAGCCAGTGAGAGCAGTCCAGTCGGTCTCAGCTGCTGACGTGGTGTTTGAAGAGAGAATGCAGTCTTTGTGGGCTCACAGCGGTCAAGGAATTCAGAGTGTTGGTTCCTCTGCAACACTAACTTGACCTCCTTTTGTATATTGTTGCATATCTTGTTTTATGTCTTATTACTGAATATGTGTTCATTGGTCTCATTTGCAGAGAATTGCTATTGTTCCCCTTCTCCTAATGTATCTACTTGTCTGTCCTCACACTCTGAGCGCCTCAGAATAGGAACTACCCTTTCTTGAATGTTTGGAAAGCACCTAGCACATTGTGGGTACTACTGAAAACAATTTTTTTAAAAGTTGTAATAAGATTCACTTTGTGCATATATGGAAAAAAGTTATTTCAGTATTTCCAAACAGTGAGAACTCCACGAGTTAAGGCTCTGAAAGCATGAGATCGGCTTAAAAATCATGAGATTTACACACAAAAAAAAGTTGGGTTATTTTTATTTGCATCCTGGATTTTTGCCTTCAGGGTGTCCTGGGGTCATGTTTTTTAAACTCTTCTCCACAATCATGGCAACTAAAATTGTACTACACAAAAAATGAAGGCTGAGGTTCTCACAAAATCACCTGACTTCATGAGCTGGAGCTTTAAGTAAAACACCCATATTGCAAGATCTGCAAAAACTCAGGGGGATTAGCCACACTGTTTTGTTTATCCAAGGAACTATATTTATTGCATAGAATTCTGTCAGTGTTTCATCAGAGGCAGTTGGAGCATGAATATTATTAAACATTTGTATTCCAGTAGCTCTCCAAGGTCCCAATCTAGGATCTCAATTCAGAACCCAAACTTCAGTCACAAAATGGATTCTGAGAATTTCACTTTTCAACCTAGCAGACAAAGGCCATTTTATATGGATTATCCATTCAGTCAGCTAAGCAATTGTTAGAATGCTATAAAGGAAGAATTACAATATAATACACAATTTGATAATGTGACTACCTGTTATTCATTAGGTAAACCACTACGGCAAACCTGGGGGCCATAAATTAAATGAGAAAAAGGAGATTTAAGAGAAGACACAGAGATAATTTGTGTAGAAAACAAGAAAATGTACCTGGTAATTGGTTTTCTGCATCTGATCAATGGATGGGTTCCAGTTCTGTCCTTGATGATGTACCAGGCACAGGAGACATAATCCCTGCCCTAAAAAGTTAACAATTCAATTAATATGTAAACTAAATGAAGAAAAAACTAAAGGCAGTGCTTCCCCCGGTATGTTTACATGTGAGGGTTCTATGTGGAAGGTGTATACTGAATTGGGGGAACCAATTGGGAGTAAGTTAATGCTGAGATGTTTCAGAGTAGCAGCCATGTTAATCTGTATCTGCAAAAAGAAGAGGAGTATTTGTGGCACCTTAGAGACTAACAAATTTATTAGAGCATAAGCTTTCGTGGGCTACAGCCCCCTTCATTGGATGCACAGAATGGAACATATAGTAAGAAGATATTTATATATATACAGAGAAGGTGGAAGTTGCCATTCAAACTGTAAGAGGCTAATTAATGCTGAGAGTATCAGACAGATTGATGGGTGTAGAGGTTGTGGAGACGGGGATCATTTTTTCCTCCTCTCCACTCTACAACATCTGAGCCTCATGGATCACTGAGAGGGAAGTTTCTGTCAGATCAGGAGAAGGCAGAACGATGCTGCAGAGGCAACTCTTCTGTCTTCTGGGCCTCCCATCCACTCCAGGTCTGCAACATTTTCATCTCCCTCAGCCACAAAGTAAGAAGGGTAATTTGGTCCCAACAGCTTAGTACAGCTGTATTTTGGAAACTGAAAGAAATATAATAAAGAAATTGTGTTGCATTTTAGTGCTATAATAAAAGGGTAATAATATCTCTTTAATGCAGTTCGAAAATCTTCCCATTACTTCAGAGTTAGTATTTATATTCTAGGGAAGGGGTAAATATTATAATAATACAACAGCTGAACTGATATGGTATTAAAGAAAGGGACTAGTTTAGGAATCCAGCATATGGTAATAGTACTTTTATCGCAAACATTTAAATATAATGAGCTCATGAATCATTAACAAAAGTGTTTATTAAATTTAAGCATCTGATTAAAATGTGTATACTAAAAATATATCACACTCAGCCTTTACATAACACTGTTTATAGTATGCATGTACCATCTATCAAATTGTCTCTGTGCTTTTTATCTGTCAATAGTCAAGGACATTAGAACAAACTAGCATCATTTGAATAGATCTTAAAGAGACATGGGACAGTTACAATGAGCATGAACCTCCCAGAATGTATTCAGTCAGATGAGAAACAAAATCATATAAATAATTTTCCTTTGAATTGAGAAATCTCCTCTAGAGTGCCACCTTGTGTTGAAATCTCAGATTACGTTCTCTTTAAAAACAGGGCAGAGGAATCAGCAGAGAAACACAGAAAAGCTCTGCAAAACTAAATGTGACATTATTTCCTTTGAAAAGCAGCACCCTTGAACAGATGTCTCTGCTCTTAACTTTTCAGCAGCAGGATGTAAACAATCAAATACTCTGAAAGACAATATTTGAAGTCCCGGTTACTGATAGCACCACAAATA